TGTTAGCCGTACTAATAATTTAAATTTTCTTGTTTTTTAGATGCTAATTTTGGTTACGTGGTGAGTCAAAAGGGGCGCATCTTGTTGCTTCACGAAAAATTCTCCTACGTACGGGAGAAGTGCATCAATGGAAAGACCTACTGGCGATGTACTCAATACACCACCCAAATAAAGTGCCATGGTCGGGTCCACACGCTCAGGGGAAAGATTGTGCACTCGAGCAAGCACAACCATCAACCATGTGGCCAAGGACGTAGGCAGTTCATCAAGCTCCTTGCCGGGGAATAATTTGGGCTGGTGAACACAAACAAAAATTCCTTTTTTTTTTATGAAAACATAAAATCCAAAGAAAATTCCAAGCAACTTTCTAAAGACCCCCCTCTATTTTCATAAACATTTTGATATTTTAAGTTTAAGCTGGTATTGAATATAAAGGTATTGCCTGATAACCAATTTTATTTACATTTACATTTAATACACATGATTTATTTTAAGCTTGAAACCAGTATTTTATACTTTGATCTCCACGTTCGTATTTAAGGTTTACTAAGTATTAAGCTCTTGTGTGAAAATAAACTCAAAACCAACCAAACCACACTTAAATTTATATAGAATATTTTGATTTCCTAGTGCACTTTTAAGTCGAACCCTGTATCAATCACTAATACCGTATGCGTTCCCTTTCAGGTACTGCACATTTGGCCAGTTTCAGTTGCACCCGGAAGAAAAAGCGTAAGCTGGTCATCGATAAGCACGAGTTTGTGATGGATCGCAAGTTAAAAAGCAGCATCAACTGGCGTTGCTCCCGCTATCGAAGCTCCAACTGCAAGGTCAGGGCCACCACCCACGTGTTGAAGAACGGCCAGGAGGTGTACCGACTGAAATATGCAAAGCACTCGCATCTGTGACCCAAGTGAAATGTATCTGCTTAATAAATCAAAAACCACGTTACCTACGTTTTCATTTGAATTGTCATGTTACAACCTTTATAAATTAGATTTGCTTAACAGATTTAACAGCCTATCTGATTATTTAAAAAAAGATTGTTAAAATAAGTAAATTTGGCAACAACAATGGATATTCAAGACAATAAACAATAAAATAAAATGAGTACAAAATCATAGATAAGTAACTAAACTTAACTTCTTAAAAACTATTACTTATTAATCAAAACCCTTTTCTATTTTTTTGCAGATATTATTCGCAAGAGAGGAATCATGATTGTTAAGGGCACCAAGGGAAAACCAAAACTCCTGATGGGCGGCTTCGAGTACTACCGCAATAATTCGAGAGGATCCAAAACGTATTGGCTTTGTGCACGAAATCGATATATGCGGTGTGCTGCCCGAATCATCACCTGCTCAGTGACCGGAGAACTGGTAATCAAAAACCAGCAGCACAACCACGATTCACTTAATCAGCCCAAAACAGACATTAAGGAGAAGACGCCAACTTCGAGTCTTAAACAATAAAGAATCTGAGCTCCTTCGCCATTTAATTTTTCCAACAATTTGATTTACCTTCCTAAGGTTTATAAAGTTATTCCAAAATCTTTTTCATAAGTTAGCAAGTAGGTACCCTTGCAGAGGGCGATTAAATTTTGGTCATATGTTTTTCACGGTAAAACTTTTGGCCCAGAAAGTATATAGCGAGTCGATATAAATTTGTCTGATTTTGAAGACATTTTCTACATAAAACTTAGCAAATCGTGTTTTTATGTATTCCTTCAACAAGGCTAATCGAACCTCTATTTGCTATAGCTGCCATAGACACAATTGGGCCAAACTCACAACTAGAATGAACGCTATAGACGAATCTCTTGACTATTATATACCCGTTACTCAGCTAACCACTTTTAAAACAAAGATTCCCCTTTAAAAAAATCGGGTTTTAGGTGGCGCTACCTGGAGACAACACCAAAAGGTAAGATTTTTTTGAAAACAATTTTTTCTTGACGATTTTTTTAGCTTTAAAAGGTGATAAGGTTTTTTCTTAGATATTTGTTATTTTAAAATAAAAATGCTGCCTGCGTCTCAAAACTTTAATTAGTTAACGTTCTAAATAGAAAAAATACTTTTTTAGTATATAAGTGTTTAGAACATTAAATATTTAAACCGTAAATTTGTCGTTATAAACATCTAAATTTTGAACCATTACTTTTTATCAAAATGTATTCAAATCAATTGAAAAGCAGCAAAATTATAATTTTTTATCCCTCCGTGTGATTTCTGGATATTCCCAAAACTCAAGAGACCACTCCGGAAAACGCGTTTCGAGTCAATTGAGGAGATAAAAGCTGAAGACGCTGATGGCTAACTGGAATGGGACTATTTGCCTTGTTTTGAGGGTCATTACTTTTTGAGTTACGTTTTGCATCGACTTTAAAAAAGTATTTTTGAGAAAAACGCGTCTTAAGTTTTTTACCTAACTGCCTTGAGCACGATTACGAGATAATCGGTATCTCTGCTAGTTTTAGTCCGATCGACAAGAAATTTTCTCAGGTTATTCCTGAGATGTTGTACTTTTATATATAAAATTATAAAGAAAATCGGTTTTTTAAATTTAAAAACCAATGTACATTTTTTTAATATTTAATTATTGAGATGATACTATTCATCAACTTAAATTAAAAAAATTGTCCAAAAATTGTAAATTTTGAGTAAAAATAGCCACTAATAAACTTTAATTTAATTATCATTTGATTATAAAATGCTTTTTCAAAATATTATCAGTAAAAAATTCAATTTTCAAGCGCACTTATGAAGTTTTTTACAAACAGATACTTTTCTTGATTCTCAGTATGTCAACGAACGTTGATATCGACAACACATTGTTGTTTCTGTTTCCAGTTCGTAAATTGATACCGCACACAATGACGGCCCTGCTAATTTCTTGTGTAAACTTTGTGGGGTCTTGTTTATATAAATCGGTTTCCAACCAAAGAACGAGAAGTGCGGGATGACAAAAAAGCTGATTCAGCTTTCGAGCCACTTGAAATGTGTCTCATAAATTCCTCAAGATCGAATTATTAATCAGCTATTGCATGCATTCGTTTTAACTTATTCCTGGAAAGTTTGTTTAGCAAAAGAACTTCACTAAGTGCACATGTAAATTTTAGCTTAGAAAATGTTTTAGAGAGAGAATAAACTCAAACGATCTTAAGTAAAGTCGAGTTCCCTGACTATAAGCACTTACCATACAACATATGTTGTATAGCGTTCTTTCTTATAATTTTATAACATAGCATCTGCTCAGCTTTGCTTAATTTTTTCTTTTTGTTGTGCTTTGTTCAATTATTTTAGTTTTTAAACTGACATGTTCCCTTCATTTGAATTTGTTTGTTTTTTTTTTTTTTTTGTTGCTGGCAATGTCCGTGTATATCACTATAAATCGGGGAATGTAATGATTATAAGTTTTAATAAAAATATTACTTTTTAACGATTATATTTCGAGTTTTACTTTTTACTCAAAAAGTACAAGCTTTTTTTTTCAAAAAAATAACGATTATTTGTTGATATTTATTTTTGGATCTACATATAATAATTTTTCTATGAGTTTTATTTTCAGCTAGACAAATACCGTTTAACTTTTTTTTAATTAAAAATAAAACTCGAATTAAAATTTCTTTTAAAACAAAACCGATTACTGCATACAATAAATGTTTAAAAATCTCCATATTTGTTTAATTTTAAAAAATAAATTTTTGCAAAGAGTCAGTGGAAAGATTACTTCTCATATTCGTTGGGAACAACTTGAGATCCGAAAAGGACCTCTCCACGCTTACTTGCGTTGCAGGAACGAAGTGGGCTACTCTTGCAAGCTGCTATTAGTTTGGACACAAGAACTTTTTCTCTTCCTAATACATCCGAATGTTCGAAATCAATTGGCTAACTAAGTTTTCTGCGTTGGAAAACGGAAAGAGCATTAAAGACCGTAGATCTGTTAAACCAGGGAGAGGACGTGAAGCGGTGTAGTCTTTCCACTGACTCTTAGCAAAACTTTTTTTTGTAAATTTTAAGAAATTAACCAAAATTGAAGTGAAACCAAAAATTTTTAACCAACCTTTTTTCAGTGATTACACGAAAATAATTACTTAGGTAAGGTAAAATATACCACGTTTTCAACTTTCTAGGTAAGGTAAAAGGTACAAAAAAGCTAAAAGAAACAATTTTTAATAAATATTATTTTTATTAGGTTCATTACGAAGTTCCAATTAAATTATAATATTTTTGGTTGTAAACATATGTAAAAAAAGCATATTAAATATTAAAAAATTTATTTTAAAAAAATAATTAGTTTGCGGCATATTTTTGTTTTTGTTGTGAAATATTTGAACAGAAAGTTGAAAAATAGGATTTTGTCATTCTTGGCAATTTTAAGTGCTGCATTTGTTTTTGCTGTAATTTGTTGTATATTCGTTTTATGATTACAATCTTCATTTAGGGAAAAAAAGATAAAGAATACCTTGACTAATGATAAAATTTTAATTTTTTTCTCCTGCCATTTTGATGCCACGTTCTCGATGGCAAAACGCTGTTTTCTTTCAGTACAGCTAAAAAATGTAAGTCCAAAACCAGTTAGAAGTACCTTGAAAAAGCTGTAAAGAGGATAACAATAACGCTCGGTAATCCTAATATTATTTATTATTAAACATGCGTTCCACAAAATATTAATATTCATATAATTGTAAAATAATAAAAAATATTTTTGGTTTTTTTAAATAAAATTTGATGAAAAAATGTTTGTCTTAAACTAAATTTTGTCGCGTTATATTATAAAGAAACTAATTTTTGAAAACAAAGTCTTAAAATTGAAAGCTTTATTACTTTACTATGGTGATTAGTAGTGATAGGTTTGACATTTTAGTTTTAATTTTACCGCTATAATAATAAGATCGTGCAGATGGAACCAGTTCCCTGTTTTTTATACGATATGTTGTATTCTGCGCTGCGGTCACACTGCATCTGTGAGGTACGAATGGTTGGTCCCGTACCGAAAAAGATACATTCTCTCTCGCAAAATCGAACGGAGCGGACGTGTCGCGCGTGCCGCGTAGGTAGACAGCCCATAGATACAATTTCCCCTGGCTCGAAGGTGGTGTGTATTGCAGCAGAAGCAGAAGTAGAAGTCTCTCTGCATGCGAGAGCGTCTCTGTGAAAATTCAATAAAACAAAGAGCCAAGTGAAAATCGGTTCCAAATGCCAATTGTCTAGCGATTCGAGAGAAAAATCAAAGGGATATAACTGCCATAAGAAAAACTGTGTTGGTGTACAGCTTAATACCCGCTATGTGTGTGCTTCGTGTGTGTGATTTGCCTGATACGCTTTAATTAATATCAATAAGAAGTGCAAAAAAATACAACTTTGTCTGCTGGAAAAGTATCTAAACCCCAATTATTCGCCGAAGAGCATTCGTTTTAATTCGATTGACACAGAGAGTGAGAGGGAGAGAGGGGGAGACTTAAAAAGAGAGTGGCAGAGGGATCCCCAACACCAGTACGGACGCAAAATAACTGTGCAAATGGTGGTGGAGCAGCCAGCAGCAACAACAAAAACCATGCAAATGTAGCGCCGCTCTCCTCTCTTTGTCGCCTTGCTTTTGCGCAGAGAACTCCGGCGAATTGGCCGAATTCGCCGCAGCTGTGTGTTTGGAAACACCTTGCTCCAATATTTTAACACCCCCCGTCTGAGATACCCGATTTTGCACGACCATCGCAGTTTCAGTCTCAGTTTCGGTTCGCTTCGTGCGCTTTCTGCTGCCCTGCAGCGGAAAATTCAACGAAAATCAGCCAGTCACTTGCAGAAACTCCCAAAAAAAAAGGAGAAAAGAAACATACCGAAATCGGGATAAAGGTTCTTGCATTTTCCAATGCTGGTTGACTGCGTTTTACATGCGATTTCCTCCGTTGCTGCGTTTTCACCTAAGACAACAAGAAGAACGGGTAAAACCAGGAAAACGGCAAGAAGAAGAGCTTCAGCACAAGAAAAAGAAGAAGCAGCAGCTCCAACATTGTCGCCGCGACATCGTCGTCGACGTCAGCGTCGCTGCAGCGCAGCAGCTTCATCAGCTAGCCATGAACTACAACTGCAACTACAACAACAACAACTACATCTGCAGCAGCCCCAACAACAACAACAAAGACAGAGAACAGGTTTGTACACAGACAAAATTTGGTTATTTCTTAGATCCATTGGCAATTGGGTTTTTCAAACTGGACCAGAACACTAAAGAAATTAGTTAGTTTGCTTTGAAATAAATTAGATATTTATTTTTTTTTTTTATTTATTTCCCATTTTTTTAAGGTTTTTACCGAAACTGTTTGGAGTTTTAAAGAAAGTTTTTTGACAATTTAAAATGGAATAGAATTTGGACGAAGAAATATTAGCTGGACCGACTGACATCGAATAGTTTGCGAAATTAATTAAGTTTCGTTTGAAATAAAGTCTACTTTCCTTTCGCAAAGTTAAGATTCTTTTAAGAATTCACTACTATTTTTAAAAATTAAAATTTTGTAAAACTTAAAACAGAAATTATAAGTAAAGTATTCTTAAAACTAGATAAAGTAAAGTAAGTTCATTAAAAGAATATTTGGTGTAGCAAAATTAAATTGTGTTGTCATTATAAACTTAAAATTTCCCACAAGTCCTTAACTATCAAATTTAGTTTTTAGGTTTCGCAGTATTTTATTGTAAAATATCTTTTTTTAATCATTATACGTGGGTTTCCAGAAAAGCAGGAATCGAATTTTAACCAAATTTGAAAAATTATATTAAAATAACTTATTTGAACCAAAATATTAGTGTTTTTTTCTCTGTACATCGACTCGCCGTCGTTGCTCTCCATTCGCTCGCTTATTCATAACTTTTTTGGTTATAGATTTTTGTCACCCCAACCCCTAAAACTGGCGAACCAACCTTTCACCTCACCCCCCACGTAGCGCCATCATCCTTCAGTTGCTCACATGCTCGACTGTTTCAGTTTTTCAATTATTAATGGTGGCCATTAGTGCGCGCGCCGTTCGTCCGCCCCGCCCCCAGCTGGCCGCCCCTTTTGCGGGTGTCGTGTAGACGCTTTTTTTCCTTATCGGACAAATTGTGTTTGTCTGAAAAGTTCAATGAGGTGCGCACTGCAATTGCACTCGCCCCGTTCCCTTTTTTTCCCTGACCAGCCGTCATATTTATGCTATCGACACATAGATAAAAATCATGTTGGTACCGATGTATATGCATGGCTTTTCCAGATAGCAGCCCGCAGCACGGCGGAAATGTATTGCATTAGGGGAATTACTCCGGGACGCAACTCCGGAGTTGTTGATTAATTCACCTCGAGGTGCGTGTGGGTTTGAGTACGATGTGTAGTTTGTGTGTGTTGCCCGATGTGAAAATTCTCTATTTATATTTATTGCTTCGTTCGTTGCTCTGGGGCGAGATAAGAAATGCCTCTTAGTCATTGGAATGAATAAGGATTTACGTATTTCACAGGAAGCGTTGTGCAAAACTCTGACAAACTCACGATAAGTTGTGAAAGGTAGCTGCTGGGTAAGCGGCGAGGCAGATGTGTCACATAAACAAGGGTATAAAAAAGATAAAAGTGTCATAAATATACTCAAACTTGCTACTAACTTATGTGAACACTCTGCCCCTGCTCCAAATAACTTGGGGTGGACTTTAGCATTTTTGAATTATAATCGTTAAGACACTATTCCACAAGCTAACAAAATGTTTGACCCGATCTATTTTTGTTCAAAATAAAAAAATAAGTGAATTCCTTTAAATATCATGTTCTTAGAATGCCCATAATCGTAGTTTGACTTTGAAATAAGAGGGCCATTTTACAAAGTCTATTGACTCGTACGTGTTTATTAAACACCTATAAGCGAAGTTGGCATCAGAGTGGTTTGACAATAAGATTTGATCTTAACGTGATAAAATCACACTGCTAGAAAGTTAGTTTTGTAAAACAAGTTTGCTTAGAATTTTAAAAACTCCGCTTTTCGACCCAGAAAGTCAAGACTTGTACGATTAACGTTCTTGCCATCTATCTTCTAATTATATACATTTAGCTGACTACAATGGTAAACTTAAGTAGTCAATATAACTGAGTGCCATATATTTTTAAGTCTTTAATTTTAAACCGTGAGACAAGCTATGTAATTATGAAGACTGTTTAATTTCCCCATAGGGTAGTTATTTAAGATATCGATCAATTTCCACCAAATTGTACTGCGCCTAATTGTTCTGACCACTTTGTAAAAGCTTAAGAGGGGTTAGAAAATGTTCTAATGTCTGCGTTATTATCCCATCTAAGTCGCACTTAACTCCCTCAACCGCCCACCCTTAGCGCACGGGACACATGTGTCCATAATAGACCGTTGCATGAGCCAAGGCCATCATTTACTCGGGCCGGACCACCTGAAAAACCAATAAAGTCATTTCACACACATTAACTTAACCAAAGAAGCAAGACCATCACGCAGCCTCGAAGGGTACAGAGTCCATTTGATAATTGCATGGAGGTGTTTTTTGGACCATGCGCATCTTTCAGACTCTTCGCCAGACTTTCACCCAACCCCCAGACGAAATCCACCCCATCCCAGCCCTTTCCATTCAGCAAGCACATGCGAAACACTGCTCGGTCACATATGTTGCCCAAAGTGATTATTTTCACTAAAAATAAACGAAATTAATGATTGATGAAGTGAGACAAGGGAGCAAACGCATCCATTCCATTCGCTTTCGCATTCGCCCCTCCAGAAAACAGTGAGCGGCCGTCAACACCAGCAGTCCAACCTACTATGGGCCAACATACATTTTCTTTGACAAAAACTTTTTTTGTTAAATTCCTCATAACATTCACAGAACACCAATCTACAATCAAGTTCCAGAAAGTCTGATAATGAACGCCTTGGTCAAGACAAGTGCAATAATGTAAAGTTTTAAGGAATTCCAAGTAGAATTTATAGGAATTCGAGGGCACACTTTGGTGACTACAAAAAAAATCTACAGATTGAAATCAGAGTGAAAGCAAATTTAAAGCCCAGTTGTTCTTATAGAAACTATAATATTTAACTATCCGATATTGAGGACGTTTTTAGTATAGCATGAACAACTACACTCGAACTTTTATGATCGTTAGTTTGGCAGATTTAGGGTGTAGTTATTAGGATGTTTGTGCATAACCAGCCTATTGAATCATATAACTATTGGTAATTTTTTTACATTGAAATCTTTTAAATTAAGCGAGCTAGGAATTTTGGCCAACAAAAGGGGTCGTTGGCCCACAGTGCAACCCCGGTCGGAATTTCCAATTTCAATTCCGATTCGAATTCGGCATCCTAGAAACGGATTGAAATGAAAATAAAAACAAAGAACATGGCAAACGTAATGAGAAATAAGCCGTCACATAAAAGAAAAGTGTCTTTTAATTGAAACCAGGTGAAGAAGATGGCTTGGACTCGCCATTGGAAAATAGAATCGAGGCGGACCGTGTGCCTCTCTGTCACTGGGCGAAGTTTCTTTGTGCTTACGCCGCTGTCGCAGCCAGACGGAAATCATAAAAATGTTGCATAAAAATATTTTTTATGTGTGCTGCTGCTGTGGCGTCTGCGTCTTTTGGCCTGGTGAAAATAATAATAAAATGGGAATAAAATAAAGCAAGTAAAGGCGGAACGGAACGAAACGGACCCGGCCGTGCCACACATTTCGTTTATATTTACTTGACAAGTTTTTGCACTGCGTCGAGACGTCTCCGTCTCCGTCTCGTTCTGTCTTTGTGTCTGTGCCAGAGATACACTCGAAAAAAAGTCCGTTGAATTCATCCAAACTGAGTAAGACAAATTATATTATTACTTGTATTAGCAATAACAGTACAGGATAATTCTTTTATGAACTACATATTTTCAGTACAATAGGTTTATTAAGAATACTATTTTCATTCACTTATTATAAATTCGGAATACCGGTCAAATTAGACACAGATTTTTCACTTCTATTAAATTAAAATAAGTTCTTTTCGATTCATTATCCCTTAATGGATGCCACTAACTGAAGACTTTGCATAAGAAAGAAATTTTGGTAGGCTAATCAGTACAAATTTGATCCTTTAAAAAGTATGTTACCCGATTGTTTTTCGGAGTGTTGTGCTTCTGCTTTCTGGTTGGTACCAGTGTCTTGGGTTTCCCGTTTGCCATTTTTGGCGGTGCTATGCAGCGGCGCTCCACGTCATCAACAACATCATCAGCACGGCTCCGGGGGCTAGGGATGGGGCTGTGTGGCCTGGGCTGGCCTGTTTTATAGTCCAAACGTGATAGCGAAATGTGCCCATCTTTTGGCTCCTCCTGCTGCCTGCTGCCGGCTGCCTGCTGCCCCCGGGAGCACCCTCCTGCTGTGCATTTTCGTGCAGTTCGAGGCTGGAGTTGTGGGTCGTGGCAGTTTCCTTGGGAGGGGTGCGCCTCGGAAAAATAAATTAATGGAAAACATGCAAACATAAATTCTCTTTAGCTGTCAGGTGTTTCACATTTTAAACGTAAATTATAAATAAGCAAAGTAAAATTATAATTCCGCCTAAATGTTTTATTTGCCACCGTCTGCTGTCATTCAGCCCACGACCACCTTCTTTATTTCTCTTTTTGTGGCATATTTCTTTTGTGGCATTTTCATTCCCTGTGTATGTTTTGGGAGAATTAATTTTATTCAAATTAATGATGGAGCTTATAATTGGCCTCGTTTTTTTTGGTCTCCGTTCTCTTCATTTTTAAATAAAGACACTCGACTGTGTGGATGGCGACATAGTCATCTGCGGCAGCAACATCGCTCCACCTCCATTTCCCTCGTCTTCGTCATCGCCATCGTCATCTTCATATCCAGCATCTCTGGGGGAAGGGGCAGCTCTGGCTTTTTAAGAGCATTTGACATGACTGGGGCTTCATTTTCCATTCGATGCGCCGCCGCCTCCACTTTGATTATGACGTGAAGTTGGCCAAGTGCAAATACTTTGCTGGTACTTTTTAATTAACTTAATTAGCATAGATGATGGGCTAAGAGCAGCGCTTACACAACATCAAAATTGCATTATGCCTCACAAGCTTGTCCTCTTGCTTGGTGTTCGCTCCGGGGAAGTCCCCCCCATTTTGATTTAGATTCTTTCAAGCATGCAGAATTTTTAAGGAGAACCTTCATGACATTATAAATGACACATGGCGTGTCGAATCTTGGTGGTAGCTGGGGGAAAGCTTTTCATTTTCCGAACCATTCCAGGAAGTGAATGTTACAGTCCTCTCTTATTATTGAAAGGTAAGAAGGTAAAAGTTACAAAATAAGTTGAAAAGCAGTAAAAAAAATAATTAGGTTACCGGAAGTCATCGTTATCTTATTCAATTTCAAAGATTAAGAACAATAGATCTTTGAAATACAGCTAAACTAAAGTGGGTGCAATTTTGAAGGAATAGAATATTTTTTTTTCATGCCCGGATTAAATAAAAACACAAAGATAATTTTGAAATGAAAGGGTTAACTAGAAAAATCCTGATATGAAAGTAATCACACCCAAGAAAATAGATGGATTCACATTTTTCACATGTAATTTGTCAAAAGAGATGTGATCCGTTAGGAATGGGACTTCCACACAAATTAATTCCAATTCAATATATAATTTCCGACAGTATTTTCGAGCCATAAATGTGTCCAATAAAGTTTCTCTTAATTGGAAAAAATGTATATATACATATATGCTGTTTGAAAAGCATGCATGCGATATGGAAATTAAGAGTTTCCAAGCTGGTGGGTCTGTGATCGTGAATTCCGCGACACGCACATGCCAAGAATCAGAAAATCTCTCAAGTGGTTTTTCTTTTTCGTAGAGTTTTTCCCCCTAGCTGGAGGCGCTAAATGCATGAAAAGATTATAGCGGAGGAAATGCTGGCAAAGGCAGTGCGACGGGGGCAGATGCAGACGCTTTTGGGTACACACATAAATCGATGCGTATAAATTTGTGTCTAATTTTTTTATAGCGCGTGATTTTTGATTTACGCATCGTTGGAAGTTTTATTTCGATTGGAGTGTCGGTTTCCCAGAGCCCATATTTATTTTTATTGCTTTTTAATGCGCCGCCGAGGAAGTTTTATTTATACATGTATATACGAGCAACTGTTTTGGTGCGTGTTGGAGGCCGAACAATGAATCTTGTGGGATTATTTTTATATGCCAGTGCCGGGGTGAAGCATTATTTTAAATTCAAATTCGCCGCCACCTTATATCATATTTACTTGGCTCAGCCAGCATGTTTGTGCTTTATAATAATAAAATATTCCACTCTTGTCTCTGTCCCCACAGGACACACAGCATCAGCAGCCACATCAGCAACCAATGCAGGCGACTCTGAGGACGGCGAGCTCCAGCTCCAGCACCAGCTCCAGCTCCACCAGCTCCACGTCCACATCCAAGACGAGAGCAGGAACAACGTCGTTAATCTATTTACCGCCTTTCTGCTATCCATGTAAGCATGTGCCTGCGGTCGGCACCAGGAGGCGGAGTCGAAGCCAGACTTTGAGCCCTGGCAGCGGCAGCTGCTGTTGTCCGCCCGACTGGGAACATAAAAATTATGATAAACATGCTTCAGCGGCCACGTTGACACCAGCAACAGCAACATCAGAAGCAGCAGCAGCAGCAGCAGCAGCAGCAACCACAACAGGACCTGCAGCGGCAACAATGTCCTCCTCGTGGGCTGGTAAATTCCTGCTGCCGGGTATTCAGTTACCCGTGGCCGCAGCGGGGCATAGTTGCCCCGATCTCCGTCAGACGTCGCAATTAGTTATGCCCACTGTTGCTGGCGGGGATGTACAGGTGAACGTGGAAGGCGGCGTCTTGGAATGCGGCAAGCGATGCTGGCGACGTGAGCGAATCCGGCGCGAAGGACCAAGTCATGCGTCTGCGGCGTCGCTGGCCCAGGTAAATCCAATCAGCACTAGCCCAGCAACAATGAAAGGAGCATCAGGAGAGGGAGTGGCAGCAACGACAACCGCGCACAATTCGCAAACAACGACAAAAACAACGGCAAGGGGCACAACTGGTGCAGCGTTGCCGCATGATGAGGAGTATGATGAATGTAGGTGCTTTAACTATAACGGTGATATTAGTCTGGATCGGCGGGGCGAGGCCGCGGAACTTTCCGGCATTACGTGGCTGATGTTCTTGTGGCAGCAGCTGCTGCCGGGCAACGGAAACAATACCAATACCCATACCCACACCCACTCGCACTCGCACTCCCACGAATCCAGCTTCCCAGCGGGGACAACAACGAAAACAGCAAGGAGCAGGAGCTGCGCCATGACGTCGACACAAAGTTGGCTGGGTCCGCTGCTTATGCTTCTTTTGGCCACGTCCGTCAGCGGCTGGGGCGGTCGGCAAGATGGTGAGTAGCCCCCGCCGATAAGTAGCGCTATGATAAGAATTTATAATTTCACTTGGCGCGCCAAGAAAGTGCCCCAGCAACTTCGGGACCCCGGGACCCAGGACCTCCCCAAACCCCAATTTCATTTAATTTTTGTGGGATAATTTGTACTCGCAACGGAGCGTCAGCTGGCGGCTCATCCCTCCTACTCAAATCCCCCAACCACACCCATGGCCACCCCCTCTTCTGGTCATGCTCAATTGAATCCATAAGTAGTTTGTGACCGCAGCTCTGCGTTCGTATAATGCGTTTCAACTGTTTCTCCATGAGCGAATTTAACCAAAAAAAAAAAAAAATAACAAAAAAAACTCAAAAACAATGAAAACAACAAGCGGAGAAGCAGCAACAGCCGCTCCGGCAACAGCAACATGCAATGGCAAATTGTACGGAAATTGCCCGAAACAAACAGCCAGCAACCGCCGACCACCGACCGACCGACCAACCGACCGCTGACCATAATTCACTCAAGTTAGACAAAAGCATTTCGGTCGCCCCGCCCCTAATCCTCCACCTCCACCTCCGCCGCCGCCTTCGCCAACACACAGCTGTCCCTCTGCGAAACGAAAGTCCAAAATCCAGACCCAAGCCCAAAACGCAAATGAGTCTCGCAGGCAAAAGCGTCATGCTCTTTGAGTTGGGCTATATGCTAGAATAAGTGTTTGTCTGTTCGCTCGGGGTGCGTATAGCCAGTCAATAGGGGTGGTCCAGTAATGTGTTGGGCTCCCTTAAATATACCCCTGCTCCTGCCCCTACCCCTACCCATCCGCCTAACGAACGAGCTCTTCAAATTGCGCACACCCATAAGTGTGGGCAACATAATTGGGTTAAGCAGTTGTTAGCGCGTTGAAGTTGTCATTATAGATCATCGTAGATAAGATAAGTGTACGTTGCTCGCGATAGGAAATTGCTTGTCATAACAGGAACCACAAATGACGGAGTAGTGCATAATTAATATCGTGTTAAATATTCTTACTGTCAATCTTAATTGAATACTGGAAAAAATAATTACTACTCAGAACTGCACACTAATGATAATGATCAATGATAAAACGATAAGAATTTGTGTCCAGTAGTTTTGTGATAAGCCTGATATTTTGCAAAAATGTATTTATGTAGCTCATTTTACACAGCACCTTTGTATCACATTAAGCATATTATACATACGTATGTATTCTAAAGCTATCCCAATTACAAGATTATTATTCTGCGACGCTCTTTCGAGTTCCTATTTCTTGTTTAGCACATGTATATGGCTGAAAAGTCGCCTTAGATACCTTACAGCTGACAAAGCTCCCCGAGATTTATTTTGATTAATGCACCTGATTACTGTCAGTTTATAGGGATCCATTGTGATGAGCAACTCTTTGAGCATATTTATTTTATTTTGGTTCCCCCTTCATGTTGTCATGTTGCTTTTTTTGTTGCCTAAGCTTCTCCATTTCTCCCACCATCTGCATGTTTTTTTCCCCGTTATGTGTGTTTCTTTCTGAGCCACTCTAATCCAAACGAAAAACACACCGAAAACAAATATCTGAAAGACCGTGCCCGTGCCCGCTTCCGCTTCCATCATTTCAACTGTCTATACGCATTTGTACGCTTGTCTGTCTGCCTGAATGCCTGGCAGTCGCTCGTGGTCGTAGTCGTCGTCGTTGTCGTCGAATATTTGCTTTCAGCTTGTATTTACTTAAGCTTGTCCTGCAGCACATTTCAGGGGTAGCGAATTAAGGGCGAAGGGCAACGTGCGATGATGATTGTGTTGCCATCAGCGGCAGCAACAATGCTCGCTGCGCCACTCGGGCAAAAGTATTGAATCATGTTGGAAAATTATTCACGGTACTCGAAATTGGCGAAACAATTATTCGTCGGCGGGGGGTGGTTTCGGTACTTCGTTCCGGGTTCGTTCCCTGTTCCCTGTTCCGGAGGCCGGAGTCCGGAGTCCTGAGTCCGGACTTTCGAATCGTTCGGATCGTTCGGGGCGGTGGCTGCCCGGCAAAGTGTGCTACACTTTTCACACAACAGGCAGCCCGCTGTGCGTATGGGCCGCATTATGACAGCCAAGCGAATGCGGCCCGTAAAAAGCACAAGTCATTGGACGACACACACACACGCCGTGGCTCTGGCTCCGGCTCCGGCTACGGCTACGGCTACGGCTCCGGCTACGACTATATATGTTCGGAGGTCTGAGCTGCGGCTCAGTTGGGGCTCAGAGTTCAGAGCGCTGCGCTGATCCTGCGCATGAGTACCTTTTGTTTGCCGCAAATGTAAAAACAAAAAGCGAAAAAAATGGAATCAACAAGAAACAAGTAAAATAAAAGAAAGGAGAGGAATAATAAAATAAAATGTGTATCGCTGTTAGTACGGCTCTGTGTGAGTTTGAGTTTGAGCTTGGGTGTGAGTGTGGCACCGTGTTGCCGCTGTCACTGTAGTTGCTGCCATTTTTACACAGAGAAAAACTATATACTTAATTTACCTAATTTATATAATTATTTGTAAATTAATACTCAACTTGAAATCGTTGAAAAATCATGAAAAAAACCATGAAGACTTTGAAAATTTAAAAAAATGTAAAGCTTTAAAATTTTGAAAATAGGAATGGCATTTAAAAAAATCCTTCACATTTTATTCAATTGAAAGAATACTATGTTAGTCATAGTGTTCATATTCATTTCACATGTTTAAAGCAAAAAAAAAAAAAAAAAGCAATTCTTTTCTAATATAAAAAAAAATCGTTTTGAAACAAAAAAATTGCGTTTGCTATATATGTTCAAAACATGGCTAGGACTAAAACTTTTTTTTATTAAAATTATTAGAAAATATAATAGAGAAAATCTTGACAGAAGTGATTTCGAATTTTTTCCTCTGCACATCGACTCTTTGCCTTTGGTTGTGTTTCTGTTTCTGGCTCGGGTGCGCGCATTCGTCTCTCCTTGCGAGTTTCTGTATTTAAATGCGTAGCCCGAGCTCGGACCGTCCTCCATCTCCATCTCCATCTCCATCTCCATCTCCATCTGCGACTTGCCAGTTCCGAACTTTCCAGTTCCCAGTACTCAGTTCTCAGTTCCTAGACCGCATACCCACCGCCCGTCGGCATCAGGACTGGCATCGCCATCTCCGCTCCGGTTCCTGCCCACCACCCTTCTCGGTAACTCCCAACTCCCCACACCCCACAGTCCACAGCCAACTTCGAACTCCCTGCCGCTGCCAATCGTGCCCAAACATTAAGCTATATGTATGGCTCAGAGGGTGGTTTTACCATTTGCTATACGTGGCTGTGTGTGCGGGTCTATACCCATTGTATGGGATATAGTACTTATTGCCTGTGTGTGCGAGTGTGGCATGCCGTTAGCTAACTTTCCGTTTACGTTTCTTTCTCTATACTTTGGCTTCGCCTTTCCCATTTCTCTGTGCTGTTCCGTTTCGTTTCGTTTCGTTCGGTTTGGTATGGTATGGTTTTTTTTTTTTTTTTTTTTGATATTCACAATTGCCATTTCGGTAGTTTTGCTGCGCGTGTATATGTGCGTATCTGTGTGTGACATTATTATTATTACGAGCAGTTTTTGGTTGCCTGGCTTGTTCAACTTATTTATGCGCCTGCCCTCCCCTAAACGGATACTTTATCCCTACCCTACTGGCATATCCCACTCCTGATGGCGGGTCGTAAATTTGCGGCCCCTTATGCGCACGCACTTAAATACAATCATAATAATAATTGAAACAATTTACAAATTAAAAAGCCACAAATCTTGGCACCCAAAAACTTGACAATACAATTAGAAGAGCAGCCAAAGAAAGTGGCCAACCGAAATCTAAATTTATCAATAAAGAAATACTTTTGCTTATGTGTGCTTAAATAAATGTGCCTGCAAACGCACTTCATTGGGAAAGATTGCGGTTGCTCTTTTATGCGGCTCTCGCTCTTAAATGAACAATGAACGCAATTGAGGTCACATCACCCATCTGCACCATCCACGGGGAGGCAATTGGAATATAATATCTTAATGCATTAATGGTTAAGTCGTTTATTAATAAATTATTACTGTGTATTTTGGCTTGCAGCGCCCGCAAATTGCACGTTTCCGGCACGATGGGAGGGCTCCTGGTTCCTGTCCGGCTATCAGCAATCCATACACATCAAGGGCTCCCAGTTCAGCTATCGCGGCAGGTGTGCGGCCTCCGATGGTAACAAATATCTGATTGTCGACGAGTAAGTACCATCTCTCTGGCCGGGACCTCCCAGCCCCTCTTTTTAGGGGCGTGGGTCCCGCCCCTGCCCGTTAACAATATGCTAACATCTCAACCCGATACTCGATCCATTGGCTGGCGAAGTACTCGAACGTTTTTGGCACAGGCCGAGGAAAATGAGATGTTCTGGTTTACTTTTTCCCCACATACATATATTTTTTGTGTTGGTTCCTTTGTCGAAGAGTGCCTATAATTGAATAAGTTTTCATTTCTGACTGAGGAAGGTGTGTGTGTGCTCGGTAAAATGTGTTAAGGTAAGGCTGAGGACCCTCCGCACGGGCAGGAAAATGCAGCACTAACCTCATTAAAATCATTAAAAAGAAGCCAGTCAGCACGGCGGAGAGAGTGGAGTGCTGCCCAAAGACAACAGCAAAGGGGTGAGCGACATCGTATATCTCAGGGCACGGAGAGAAAATAGCAACTTGCAAGTAGGACCTATACCTAAAACTTCAGTAGACCTAAAGGTATATCGCATTACAAAACCTTAAAAACATGAGCTAAAAAGTCAATGCCTCATATTGCTTTTAAAAAATGTTTAACTGTTATGATTCCATTTTGTATCAAACCATTAAGAGTTCTCTCTTTCATATCAAGTATATCAAGTAAAAATGCTTTTATAAAAAGTTACCATTTTAGGAAATTGAGGAATAACCTGACGTTTTTAGACTCTTAACGCTTCCATTTGTTGAGTTAATTAAAAAAACAGTAAAATAAAAATGTATATACAGGAACAAGCTAACATTTTTTTTATATTTTTTCATATTTTAATATCCTAAGAGGACAAAGCTTATACGAATTCATTGGCCAGTCTTTACAAATTTGTTTTAACTAAAATGCAATACAAATAATCTTAAAGTTGATACAATAATGAGTGTAAGTAGTTAGAAATCAAATAATTATCTTGTGCCTTACAATAAGCTGAGAGAACTTCCTTCTAAAGGATGTTTGGTTCCTCAGAAATTCGGAAAAATACCTTAAGAACTTTAAAGGCATTTCTTGAATTTAGAAGCTATATATTTAAATAAACTTTTTTTAATAAAGATAAAAATCTGTTGTCTGACAGTCCTAGGCTTTGTTTTTTTGGAACATCTAATAAAAATAATGTATATACAGCAAGTTGAATTTTTTCTCCGTGTACCGCTTTACTCACACATGCAGTCAAACCTGTCGTCAACGTTATCGCTAACGTTGTCGCTGCTGCTGCTGTTGTTGTTGTTGATGTTGCCGCTGTCTGCCAGCTGCTGCTCTCAACTTTTGCCTTTGAAACGGGTTTGAGTCGAGTTTGTTTGCAGCACCCTGCCGCCATGTCCTCCGCACTCCATCTCCTCCGTGTGCAGGGCACATTCTTCGAGGCAGCGCGATGCTCGTAATTCGGATGTTTGACAAGAGCCAGTCATGTACCAAGACCAAATCACCCGGCCCCCTTTTAGCTCTGAGTCCCTATATGTATATCGCCCGATAGATATATCCGTGCCTGTGTTTGTGAACCCATTCGTATTCGTATTGTAAATGCTACTGAGTTAGAGCTAAAATTTAAATCAAACTTTTTACGGACCCACGTATTGTGTTTTTAATTTAGAAAACTGCCTTTTTGACTACTCTATGACTGTGCTACTCAACCATTCATCCCACTTAGCAGCTGCGTTTGTTGCTGCCCATTTTCCTTCCGATGATTTCTCATTTAAAACGAAACGAAAACCGAAGACATTTAAAGGAAAATTGCTTTTTGTACTGCGCTCCCATGCCATTTCTTTTGCTTTGGTCTGGAGTTCCTCTTTTGTTTTCTTTCGTATGAATGTTTTTTAGTCGTAAAGAGCTATGTGAAAAACAATTAAAACCCTTTTAAGCTGCTTTCCTTAATGCGAAAAAAATAAGACGTACCCAAAAAAAAAAAAGGAAAACAATAATGTACCCAAGTGGTGGAGTTCATTTTAAATTTTGTGTTTTGCCATGTTTATGCTTATAAATACTTAATAAACATATAAATAATCCTATCCGTAAGCTAAGATTTTCGGTTGTAGCTGAATTGTGAAAATGTTTTTTGATTTTTTCCGCTGCCTTACTCTTACTCTTTAAATAGTATTGGCCTTTTTGCTGTGCTGCTGGAGGCGAAGGCGGGGACTGTATCCATATTTAATTCACTTTTTGCCACGCCCTCTCCTCCGGCTTGCATTCGTTTTGTTCTGTACAAGTTTTTGTCGTATACCAATAAATATAGTAAACATATCAAAACCAAACCGAGTCCCAACAACTTCTTAACAACTAGGAAACTAACAGAACCCCTACATTATGCCTAACCACAATAAAAATCAAACAAAACCCAAGATGAAACTGTTTATTTTGAAACGTTATCAACTTATCTATACGAATAAATATGTATTCAAACTATTTTTACATCACTTTTCAACAACATATATTTTGTGAGTTTCTTGTGTTATTAAGTGTACGTCCTTTGAGTTTCTTTCGATGATCATTTAATTACTTCTACTCGAAATAAAACATCAACTTAGTAATCGCTTTTCAATGGATAATAACATATTTAAACGTGGGCAAAGTCGAAACACTTCAAGTTAGTCACTCTTTCTTGAGAAATTGTCCAGTTTCGATTTTGGACCACACTTCTGGGATCATCAGATGTTTATTTTGTACCAGTTTGGCAAGAGTACATCGAAATATATTTGAAAGTAGGCGACGGGGTATCGCTTCAGTGTGATTCTCGTTGTTTTGCACCCAGTAAATATACCTAAGATATTTCTTTTCCGATACCATTCACACAAACACACGGAGGGACTTTCAGAATTCCCGGTCAAAGCCTTAGCCTTAGTTTACCAATCATTTTATTTGTCGATTGCGCCAAGAACCCGATAACAAGCCAACACATCCCACACCACCGAACCAAAGTATACCCAACCAGAAACATGAATGTTGAACCACATAACCATTATACTATATACAAGCAATACTATATACCAAATACCGAATACCAAATACCGAATACAAAACTTTTCGTTGCAACCAAAAACTTTTTTAGGAAAGGATGTCATCGTTGCCTGGTTATCTATGAGAAGCATAAAAATGTGCTCCAATATAAAGAAAGTGAGTGCGAAGGTGATAGTATGTATATGCATCAGTCGAACCCATCTGCACTGGCGATGCGTAGCTCTAATAAACAAAGTGATCATAGGGGGGGAGCTCATCCCAATACGAACGGGCATTCAAGACTATCTTCATCGGATCAGTACATAATGAGATCCAATGACGATATGAATGATTGTAAGCATTAACTTTATATTTTTCTCTATATCTATATCTCTTTCTAAAATAAGTTATAAGCAAAGCAAGCAAACTAAAATGAAAATACAAAGACTCTATCTCCTAACTCGCTATCTAAAAATACCAGTTAACCGTTATTATTTTAACCTTTTGTTTTACATATTTCGAAATGCTCCCTTAGTTAACCAACATGACTAACCTAATCTTTTCATTTAAGCGCTATTTTCATTTCACTCAAAACGAGAATACAAAAGTTTTTCGTTCTGTCAAATGACCAACTGAAAAGCAAAAAAAAAAAAAAATGAAAAACACGTTCTCAATTTTTTAACACTTTTGAAAACACACACAAAAAAAACGCAGGATTTTTAGTGATTATTTCGGTATTTCTGATAAGTTTTCATTGATTTTTTCTTTTTCTTTGATTCGATCTTTCTTTTGGTTTCAGTTCTTGTATGATTTTTAAAGCAACCTTTTGTTTATTATACAAAACAAAAAAAAAAAAATAAAAAAACGAAACCAAACCAAACCAAACTTGTAAATAGTCTCAAACAACAATTACTCTGCATACGAAATGAATAAAAATAACTCTACTTTGTTTACGTTTGTCATGGCAAGGGTCCTCTCTCTACCTCTCTCTCTCTGTATATCTCGAACTCACCTCACTTTAATCAAGCAATCAACCAATCAATCAACAATGAATAACCACTCAATCTATCAATCAAAAAGAAGTACATATCTAACCACAAAAAATATATATATAACCACCTAGAAAACCGATAACAAAACCAAAATGAACTGTATATTTTCCTCAACATACACACGTTGCAATTTATCCCGAAAAGCTACAACTTAAACTACTCGTACCACTATTAATAATACCCAATACCTAAAGTTAGTGTCAATCCAATTAAGCTACTTAGTTGCGATTTTTAAGCGTATTAGCGGATTAGCAGATTAACCCCTCCCAACAGAGCAACCAATTAAAGCCAAACTGAAACTGAAACCGAAACCGACGGCCAAAACAACAATTGGTTCTACTCAGTATATTCAAAATACAAAAACCATCTAGACAAAGGAAAACAGCGAGCAGTCTTTAATTCTAATTCCAAATCCAATTGAATCGGAATAAAAAGGCAAACTCCCAATCTAATCAAGAGAAGAAAATAAGCAAAACAGGAAACTATAACCAGTTTTAGTTAAGAATTTTTGTTTCTCTCTTTTTCAGTTTCCTTTCTCCTTTGGTTTTGTGCATTTTTGGTTCATCTTAAATGTAAATAATTAACAAATACAAGCGAAAAACAAATTGTGTAAATATATAAAAGAAAACCCGGAACATGAGACTGAAAAATCAATTGTTTGTTTCTTATCTATTTTTTGTTACCAAACATTTACATATATCTAAATATATATCCATATATATTTGCAAACTCTATTCAATATTTATATGATATGTATACTTTTCCTTCCTTCAACATTTTCAACAATTTTAACAACAGCAACATATCTCTCCAAACCTAAAAACCAAAACCAAAACTAAAACCCAAACTAAAACTACAACTACAAATCAATTTAGAGCAATTCGAATTTAAAATACGTGTGTGAGAGTGTGTGCCAGTGTGTTTTTGCTTCCAATATCGAGAGATGAATAATAACAAATAGAGGTGTGCACACACATGAGAAATTTGATTGGATTTTGGTTTTGAAATTTGCATATTTGAAATTTTGTACATTTTAACCAGCCGCTGCTAAGTTCTTGTACAGTTCGTTTCGCGTTTGTTCCCATCTATATAGTTCTGTATAGCAAACAAAGCAAACCGAACCCCAAATGAGCACCCACACATTTGTATTTACAAAACAAACTTGTATTTAGTTGCGATCCCAGAGATGCGACCTATCCACTCATTTGTAAATAAATCTCACCTTCAATCATGACAAAACCAAAGACCAGCACACCGGACACGACGAGCATTCATCAGAAAACGACACAGAGGTACGAGCATTGAAGCCGTGAAGTCTTGAACCAGTTTCCCGAAATCTATTCAAATAAAGATTTTGACGGCAGGGGAGTGTATTGAATTTCCAATAAGTTTCAGTACTATGGCAAGCAGTCGAAGAATTATTGCCTAAGTTTGTTTATCCTATTTTTTTTTTTTTTTTTTTTTTTTTTTTTTGCTTTATCTGGCATCGCATTCACAACCCACTTGCTTTACTTGCTGGCCCCTGATTTATTTATAGGTCGAAAATGGAAATTGGAAACTTGACACCGAGTGTCAAAGTGTTTTCACTTCGTTCAGAAGGGACTCGAAGTGCTCGCAGCAATTATCCGAAAGTATTCCGTTCGCAAACATTTTATTCGCATCCATAACGCGTCGTTAATAAGTGCAATCCGCTTAGTTCATAATCAGGTAGCGAGCTCGAGTTTGCAGTGCACCTAATTACCAGCACCGCCGCTCGACCTTCTTACATGCTCACTTAACCTCCACTCTCCTCACCTCTCCTCCAGCCGGATTCAGATCCAGATCCAGATACAGATCCGTCATGGCAACGCAATCCACCCGGACACGCATAGAAATGTAAATTCATTATTTATTATTTGTTTGCCTCAATAGAAATCAAATTAGTTTAAGTGGCGAGCTCTTGGCCCAGAGCGCAGTCAGACAGTTGGCTTCGCATTTGAAAAACGCCACGCCACGCCACGCCCACTCCCACTCCCACGCCCACGCCCTGCCACCACCCATCGGGTTTTGGCCTCACAATTTGATATTTTCCACTTGATATTTCCGAGCTGGAGCTCGAGTCCGACTGTCTGACAGTCTATTTGACTGCCTGACTGGCTGACTGCCTGACTGGCTGACTGGCTGTCTTGGCTGCCTCGTGTTGCCAGCCTTCCGCTTTTCCTTGATTTGATTTTGTTTAAATATTAAACGAGAGTTTTAGGTCTCATTTATAATTCAGGAGCACCGTTGATGGCGGGGGCGGGGTCGAGTTGGTTTTGATTAGCAGACCGTAAAACAATGGTATCAATAGTATGTACAATTGAGTTGCGTGCGTGTGTGCTTGTTCTTTATTAAATCATTATTTGTTTAGATTGTCACACAAGTGCGCACACAAATGTGAGATTAAATTTCAGTTTTGGATAAAAGAGCAAGCCCCACGGCGTTGAAAACACTGCTCAGTGCTCATCCTTTAGAACTTACATTTTTGGCCATTTTAATGCGCTTTAAATTGAGAATCTCACCAAAGGCATTATAAAGTTGCTTTCAATTAAGACAGTTTCAGTCTTTTTTATGGCCACCATACACCATATACACAAGGAAACAATGTATTCTGGCTTGGCAGACTGTAATTGGGCTTAGACAGTCGACAGTTTCAATTACTGAAAACTTGTACATATGGGATTAGTAGGAAAAGCCTTGTTAATTGCTATAAGGCTAATGTAGTGTCGTTTTCACTTGTGTCGGGCATCAAAGGATATGCAATGTTTTCCTCACACACACACACACACAGGGCAATGCACACTTATGGTTAGCATAATAGGTACACTTTGTGCTACAAATTAAAACACAAAGTATGAAAAAATGCAAAAATAGTGCGGCCAACCAATAAAGTGTTTGTAAGACATTCAAGACATTGTGTTTGGTATCTGTTTATTGAGGGAAAATTGTAATCTTTAGATACGGTTGAACTTCCATACTTTATCAGTATTGAATACTTTATTGGCAATATGAAAATAATAAAAATAATTTGCGGAATATGAGTTTTGGAAGTATACTATTGCTGTTTTTCGAGAATTTGTATAAAGTGATTTTAGATAATTGAAAGCACATGTCAAGGTGATGTCACTATTATTTTGACCGTGAGTAGCTGTGCTGGTAGCAAAGTGCGTGTAAGCGAGCTGCCAATCAAATGAACAAGTCGGCTGCCCGATTCCTGAAACCTTCGATTCATTGGCATCAATGATAATCCAATGCGAGCCATCAAAAGCAATTGCATACTTCGGGGCGTTTGCTAACTGCCATTTAAATTGCATTTTCGAGTACAAACTACACACGTACGTAGTACGTTAGTATCACTAGCCATTCGACCAGCACGCCGTCCCCTTCCCCCTTCTTCTATCCCACTGGCAGTGCCCCCCTTAATTATGTTTACCGCTTTTTATTTTGTGAGCGCTTTTAGCCAGACATTTTGTGTAGCCTGTGACGGGCTGCCAGGCAGTATTTGCATACCAATTTCACTTCCAGCTACCTTCCACTCCACCTGCAAAAAGCGAAAAAACCCTGGGAATAAAAAACAAGCCTAAGTTGGGGTGATGGGCACTCAATGAAGGCCAGGCCGCAGCGTTTTAATTGCAGTGCAAAAGCGTAGGCGGTATATAAAAATAATTAAAATAATTAAGCAAAACTACGGCATCCGAGCACTTGCCGTTTTCAGGAGGTTGCCCTCCCCATGGCTTCTTGAGTTTTTCTTCTTCTTTTTTTTTTTTTTTTTTTGGGAAAATATTCAACGATAATTCTTTGCAGTCTCCCGCAGTTTTTTTGGGCATTTTATTATGAGTTTATCTTTTTCGGCGTTCAGCGTACGTATATTCGCATTCTTTGCGCCCTCATAATTTCCTTTATATTATTTGGTGTTATAACATAACAGGACATGCTTTTGCCAATTTGGGTGCAAGGATATTTAAATTTAATCAAATGTCGGTAAAAATGTTTGCGCCATGCCTTTATGCCAGCCAACGAGCAAAAAAAAAAAGGGAAAATCATGAACAATAACAACACGCACACATAACAGGGCATTGCCATTCCATGGCTTGTGTGTGGGTGTGCGTGTGGGTGTGAGTGGGTGGAAGAGGGGGTGTTTGGGTGGGAGTTTCCACCTGAACGTTGACTGGGTAATTTGTTAGCCAGGCCAGAAGGCGCAGAAACCCAGCCCAAACCAAACCAAACGAAACCAACTCAACCCCAAACCTAGTCCGACACCGAGTTTTATTTTATTTTATATAGTTTTTGGCATTTTCATGTGCCCACTTTTCCTTCGTTTTCCGCCTTTTTTTTTGGGGGGACTGGAGGAGGGCTGGAGGAGGGCAGCCAGACCCTGCGTGAGTTGGTACAGTTTTCGCCGCGTAAATACATATATACCTATATTTATATGTACAGCGCGAATACCAAATACCGAGCATAAAAACTTATTTACCTAGGGACACCCGGGAACAGAGCCGGATTCCGATTCCGGGGCGATTCAGTGGCGTCAGGCGCCCGGGGTGTCAACCAATTTCGAGTGTTTTCCCCGGGTTCTGGCCCCGTAAAATCTACCAACGCTCGTGGCCAAACACGGTGTGTTGCCAATTGTTGTTTTCGTGTGTTCTCGGGCCGGGCACACACTCTCATACATATATTTTCGCATTGCCATTGCCATTTTCATTTCATTTCAATTCATTTCATTTATTTATGCAATATTTTATGTGCTCATTCATTTTTTGCCCGTTTTGGTTGTCGTCGGTGCCCGTTTGTTCTATTAATTTGTTGTCGCTCCATTCAGATCCGTACCGTCGTGGTCGGTTCCACTTTGGCCCGGTTATTTGCCATCCGCCACGGTACCATTGTCAATTTCGTGGATACACGTCTATACGTCTATACGTGTATGTATATATTTTCGTAGTATTGTATGCGCATAAAATTCGTGCCATAAACCTCATTCGTCTTAATTTGTATGCCTTGTTTTGTTACGGTTACGGCTGAGCTCTGTGTTTTGTTGATACTTATTTATTATTTTTATGCTCGGCTCACTTATCTTTGCGTGTCTAGCTTCCTTGGGCCCCTTGCCGAATTACTGGGGAGTGTAGAGAGCTGCATACCATAAATATAGCCTCGTGCATTAAAGCTAAATTCGACAGAACTGCAAACAATCAATACCCGTAGCAACATAAAATAATCACCATCAGCAGAATAAGAATCAGAATCAGAAACCGAATCCGAAGCAGACGCAGAAGCAGAAGCAACAACCTCAACGTAAACGACAGTTGTATAAATGTGAATATGAACAATGACAATAACACACAATGCTGTAAATAAAGGTCCAAATTCCATATATTCTCTTGTACAGATATTTAATTGTGTTTGTTTGTTGGTACATACATACTTACATACATATTTACTACTGATTGATTTAATTTTCAGTTTACTTTTGAGATACTGTTCGTTGTCACCAATTGAGACGCTTTGATTTTGTTTTTTGAATATTATATATAACTCTTTGTATTTGTACATGATTATGATTATTAATGTTTATATTAATCCACTGCTAACAAAAAATCGTCATCAACTTTGTACAGTAAAACCATGAGCGAGCGAAACTAAACCCAAAAAATTATGACAAACCCAAATTCAGGAGCTTCGGCCTTCGACGAAGCTATAAGTAGGATTTCCAAGATTGGTAGCGGTGCATGAAGAGATGTACATATGTACATAAACACACTTGTAATATATTACCCATACCTCTAAGTTTATCATTCTTTCCTCACTTAAAACTTCAAATTTGATTGTGATCCGAGTGAACGGTTTGTAAATCTCCTTATTATGATTAATAATGTTTTCAAAATAATTCTTTGCCTTGTTTTTCTTAATCAGATCAAGTCTGCCAATCTCTTGGAAATCGTACATCCCAAACGTCCATTCCATTTCAAAGAATGCCTTTCGAATTTCATTTAACGGTTTGTTAAGTTTCCTCAGTTGTCCGATCCCCAAAATGCACCCAACCGCACCCGAAATCCCCACCACAATCCCTCACAACTCCCGCTTTTGATTTCTGTTTTCGCTTTAATAAAAAAGGATTTAAAACAGGAAAAATCATTTGTTTCCATAGAGCCTACGAAAGCGAACTCGAGACACATATGTATAGAAAGCCATGCGTTCATTACTTTTACCCAATCTCTGTCATACTTTGTTTTCTATATCAATTTCGTGGATGTCTAATACAAAAAGGATTTCAGCTAAATTTTGTGCTCCTTTGCACATGCCTATGAGAAAAAAAAAAAACAAACGAACCACAACCAAAAATGAAAGAAAAGTGATATATATTTAGCCACGAATATATATCGAGTACATCTTTGTATATGATGATGAAATGTTGGGATGGGCTGCCCGGTGACCGCTAGTATAATTGTCTCATTTATCAATTACTTATTGTACTTTCTTCTTACTACATTCTACCTAACCTAACAACCTACTACTACTTTACCTTACTACTACCTAACCTACTACTACTATTCGTACTACTATTTGCTCTATGGGTTCACCATTCTGTGTTGTTCTTTCCTTTTCTGTGTGTCCGTGTTTGTGTCCTTTTGAGTTCGATTCCTCCTCGGTTGTTTTTGGTTTCCTCAGTTGCTTTGTTGCTGTTTAATTAGTTTTTATTCTGTTTTCGGTTTCCCCTCCGTTCTGTACATACATGTGTGTAATTTAATTAATGTAATTTTAACATGAAACTCAACAATTTCTGCTCTCGGTTACTCATAAGTTACGATTGTGTCGTTTGTTCGTTCGTTCGTTGGTTGGTTCAATCCTTTGTTCCTTCTTCTTTCTAGCTGTGTGTGTCTCTCATTTATCATTGCGTTCGTTCTAAGTGTTGTTTGTTGTGCGTGTGCGTTAGAATGTTTTGGGCCACTACTCTACTGTAATTTAGTCCGGCTATCTAATATAACTCTGCGCTTAACGGTCGGTCCGACCACAAAACCAAAAAAAAAAAAACAAAACAAATAAATCGCAAAGAGAATACCGAAAACCAACTGCAAAAGTATTATAATTTATTTTCCAGTTTTTTCTTACGTTTTTTCCATGTCTGTGATGTCGTTTTTTGCCTTGTCATGATATACTCCCATATATATGCTACAAACGCTTCTCCGTAGAATTTGACCATTACACGCACACACACTCCAACTAAAAAATATTATGAAAAACATCCGACACCCCCACACACACACATGACACATGACACACGACACTCATACACTCATACACTCATACATCCAGACACTGCCACGCCCACCCTACACCTTTCTTTTGTGCCTTGTATAACTCATAAAGTGTAGTTGCTACTTAATTACAATCATTACTCAAATACGACACAAGGCCGGTCTCGAAAACCCAAACCCCAATATAGTCGATTACACCCGTGTGTATCCTGCATATCCTGGCTTTTTACACCACACCACAACACACACATAATTGGTATTTTTCCATAATTTGTTACTCTTTTTGCGACTCTGCGTGTGCCTGTTTTTGAGTTCCTTGTCGTAGCCTGTGTATTGCTAAAGAACAAACTGCAACAATTCAATTTGTTGAAAATAAAGTTAAAGAAAACCAAAACCAAATACGAAACCGTTTGTTGTGTGCCTTTTTAGCTGTAAACATTTTGTACTATTGAGAACAATGCCTGAATGTGTTTTATGTATATATTATGCCCATATCTGTATCTGTTGGTGTATACTTATACGAAACGGATTTTAGTTACAATTAACTTTTACAATAACAACTACAACTCTTACCAGTTAAAAAGAAAAAAAAAAAACAAAAAGAAAAAGAAAAAAGAGAGGACCCTTTACCAAAAGAACATATATATGCCACATATATATCTCTCGCGTTTGCCATAAAAACCAGAAACTACCGATTTACCCAATTTATTCATCATGAGTAAATGTTTGTTATTATTTTTTAGTTGATTCAAATGTTATGCTTGCTCTAGCAACAAATACCTTATATACAGCCCTACCAGGCACTAACATTATTTTACAACCTTAACCGCCTCTGTTTCTCCGCCCATTTCCCATTTCCTGAAAACCCCCAACCCCCCAAACCATTCTCAATCCGAATCCCAATCCAGATCCCATGCTTTTGGTTTCAGAGCCGGAAGAACAAGATGAACCAAGTGTGTGTTTTTGCTTTTCGGTTCATTTTTTTTTTTTTTTTGAACGTGTCGTGCCTTTCAGTTGAGTTTACAATACAGAAGTTGGGCAGTGCAATTCCACAGCCCAAGGAAGCGCCGCTGAAAATGAAAAACTCTTGTCTTTAAGTTATTTCTGTGAACGTCATAAGTCTTTGGTTTGTTGTTCCTTACCGCCTTCGGTTTGTTTGCTTTTTTTGTTTTTTTTTTATGAAACTTACATACTTATCTGACTTATGTATTGTACTTACCGCTGCTTTTTACACATTTCCACAGAAATTGTTGTTGTTTCTCCACTCTGTGCCGCACTTGAAGCTCGAAACTGGGGGCATGACCGCGGTGGCAACTTGCCTTTTGCCGTTGCCTTTACACGCAGCAAGCAACTCGCAGCGCTCAACTTGCGACATTTCTGCTGATTTAAAGCTTCATTTCGTCATTTATTTGCACAATTTTCTCCCGGACCATCAGCATCAGCGGCCACTTAATTAAACAAATTTCTGTGCAATTTAAATGGCGTGCTTGGCGATGGCCCTGGCGGAGCAGAAATCGCAACAACAGTGCAGCTTCCAGTGCGGCACTCAACAAAAGTTGAAAACAAAAAAAAACCAAAAAAAAACAAAACAAAAAATAATAAATAAAACATATTTTTCACATCCTTAGCCCTTTGTAGATTCGATTTCCTTTCAACCATGCCTTTACTTTAATGTTTTGCTATTACTTAGTACAGTTTACCACTTACCTACTCTGCTCCCACTAAACCTTACTACTTTCTACTACTAATACTGCTACTACTACCACTATTACTATGTACTATGTACTATTTTTCCTTCTTCTGTGTGTTCTGTGTTCAAACGACAACCTAATTTGCGATTTGCATTAATTGAATTTTTATTTGTGCTTTTAAAATAATCATGTCCCCCAGACTTTTGCAAGGGCCGTGAGACTTTACAGAATCTCTGCGACCAGATACCGGGCGATGCCCTGCTCTACTCGCTTTTCCGGGAAAGCGCCGAGCCGGTCAAGTGTCCGCTCAAGGGTGAGTACCAGCGCAGTGCCCTTGGGGCAGTTCAGAAATGCAGGGATCTACTTCACCCTTCACTTCATCCTCGCCCGCAGGACCCTTCATCTTCACGTACAATCGGGGCCACGGGGAGTGCAAGTCGCCGGTGTCCAACATTGAGAGCTGCACGGAGGAGAGTCGCCTCCTGTTGAGCTTCCAGGCCTGTCCCGATGTCCAGGGCACCGAGAGTACGGGTAAGTCTCGCCGGTGACAATGACTCATCGCCTTGCCTTGCATTGCCTTGCATTGCCTTGTCTTTCTGGCCGGAGTTCAAGACGAACATCCTTTCTTCCTTGCTTCCTTTTCGGTGTTCCGGCTGCAGTCGAGGAGCTGACGTGCCTGGCAACCTGGAAGGATGGCAATTCACGCTACTTGGTCGGCCTGGTCTCGCACCATCACGCCATTTCGAACGAGGAGCGCTATCGCTGCTTTGTCTACGAGAAAATCTCCTCGCTGATGGGTAAGCAGCAGCCAGCCCCCGGGCAAACAGGATGAACTTTTGTTTGGGCCCTAATACCCGTACATTCGTACCCTTTGCAGGCGGCCCCAGCATGCCCAGCTCGAAGGATGCCGAATATAAGCTGGCCCAATCCGGCGACGCCACTTGCAATGGCTTAGACAGTGCCGAGGTAAGCATTTTTCGAAGCCCCAGCTCCCAGCTCCCCCCACCTGTTCTCTCGCCATTTTCATTTAACATCACTCAGAAAAATTATGGTACAACTTTGATGGGAAACGGGCTTTGAAAAGAAAGTGTATATTTTAAAAGGTACTGCTCTAGAAAGTTAAAATAATCATTGGTTAATAGTCCCGATTATAGAATACCTGTTACTCAGCCAAAAAACTTCAAACTAAATATTTCCCTACAAATCAATCGAAGTTTGGGTGGCGCCATCTGTCCAACTGCAAAGCCAATACTAGAAGCTTAGAGCGGGCAGCATCCCCACCCCCCAATATCAGTTCTTTCGTTCTTTCTCTCTACTGCAGCGATAACCGGCAGAGCAGCGGCAGAGCAGCGACAGAGGACTTAATAACCCTATAACTTCTCAAATAATAGATCGATTTCCAGAGTCCACTCTAACGAGTGAGCGTGGGTCCGTTTTGAAATAAACTTGCGCTGCGCAGGAATTACTAGATTCTGCATTTTAAATCCCATATCGCTAGCAGTTATATGTAGTTTCCGAGATCTTGACGTTCATACCGACGGATATGATCCTGATCAAGAATGTATATATTTTATGGGGTCGGAAACGTTTTCTTCTACCTGTTACATAGTTTTCAACGAATACAATGTACAATTTGCACTTTCACTCTACGAGTAACGGGTATAAAAATAAAGCTAGCAATTTATAAAACATATAATTAAAGTTAACAAATAATTTGGGATTTTGCTCTTTAGTTTGTCCTGCATTTAACATAGCCGAGTTCTAAGATTTTATTCTGAGTGCTTCTTGGCCACGCCCATCAGCTAATCCAACTAACTCCCGCCCACAGGTCGGTTCGCGCATCATGTCGCTGCGAAAACCGCCCATCGCCGAGCGCTGCGACTTCCCGGCCTGGTTCAAGGGTCCGCGCCACTGGCACGCCCTTATGGGCAATGCCGTCTACAATTATCATTCCAAGTGAGTAGCAATCAGGCCTGCGGCCAAGTTGTCATCCAAACCGGTCCTGAATCCCACCGTTTCCCGTTTTTGCAGCGACGGGTCCGTGCACATTATTAAGCCCAACGGCTATATGGAGACACGTGCGCTCTGCGAGCAAATAAATAAACAGACCCCGACCGAAATGATGGCCGTGGTGCACTACACCACCGGGTGGTAAGTGGCCCCAAATTGAAAAATGAACCCCCCCTCCCCCCAAACCCCTCGATTCAATGTCCTCTCCCCCCTTTGTGCCCGCAGCCAATCGGGATTCATGTGCATGATGTTCTACCGCCGGGACACGTTCGTCATTGAGATACAGACGGGCAAGCCGGCCATTCGCCTGGAGGACGCCTGTGCACCGGATCACTTTGACATCAATAAGATGGCCTACATTACCTTGCTGGGTAAACTGCACCGACGTAGCAACCTCTGCGCCTTCGTCTTATCAAACGTTTGTGTTTATGTCGCTTTTTAGCCAGCAACCCGGACCTGGCCATTTGTCCCATGGAGGGAATCTACACGCTACGAGGCGCCATCGGACCGCCGTATCTGGCCACGCGCCACAAACGCAATCACAACGGCAAGTCGCATCTGGGCCATGGACATCATCACCACGAGGGCGCTGACTCGGGAAATTTTGGGCATAAGGGGTATGTCCGCTTCATGGCTGCCACCTCTGGCATTTCTCAATCTATTTCCGTGGTTACAGACACAGTTCGCTGAGTTTCCGCAACGCGGAGCGCATGGAGCGCGGCTCCTGGCATGCCAATACTCGAGGCCTTCCCGTTCGCAGTCGACGCAACGCACCAAAGGATCCGCAGGTGCAGCAGCAACAGCAGCAGGCGTTGGTCCTGGAAAAGGTCAACAGCAGCGATACGAGTGTGGGATTTGTGGCCACGAGGAATCGACGGGATGTACCGGGATGTGTACCCAACTACAATGCCCAGCGGCAGCTTTGGGTGGGCTGTTCGGCGGAAAACCTGATCGACGTCAGTCCACTGTGCAGCGTGGATGGGGAAGAGGGTAAGAAGATGTCAATTTATCTATATATTGTATACTATATATTGCATCCCATCATTTGTATAGTTAAGCCCTGAAAGTCTAGTAGTCAAGTTTGCTTAGTTATGGGATTCAAGATTAGGCTATGCTCAATAAATTATTAAAATTTATAAAACGTTTTTTTTTTATTTTTTTTGTTATTTCATTTAATTAATATGTTACACAAGAGAAGACTTGCAAGTAAGATGCTAGTAATAGTAAAATAAATGATATTTATTGGTATGGACAAATAATTCCATACTCTGCGCTTACTTTATTAATTTGAAATCATCGCAACGTGTAATAAATATATTTTAGCGTTTGCACTGTAACCATTACATTTTTCTAAACATTTTTCGTAAAAATCCAGTTAGTCTTTCCATCTCTCTGGAGGACCGGCGTTCGACAGGTGTTCCTTAATGAAATCTTAATTAAAGTCCTTGCCTATTCGCAGCAAGGAATCTCAGTACCTTGGTCCGGTTTTTAAAAAGTTCTGACTTCCAAGGGCTTTGCATTAACAATTAAATATTTGCAACTCTTAGCGACTAGCGCATTAACATATAAGTTCCAAACATGTAGCGTTGGGATTAAATGTTATAATAAAATACAAATACAAATTAGGCAAGCGCTTAGGGAACACGTTTTCTGTAATATGTAAGATTAGAGTTCAGAGTTAGATTTCATATATATTTCCATTTGCAGAGTATTCCTGTCACGGATCTTGGAGCGAGAACAGCACCTTCTACATCATAGCTCGGCACAAGGGCAGCAAGCACGGGGTCTGTCTGACCTATCGACCCACTGAGGGCACCGCTGCCAAACTGGTTGTGGGCGATGCCTGCTATCGCGGCTCCCAGAAACCACCCGACCATCATCTAGAGGCCAATCTGTCGGTTTTGGGTGAGTTGATTGCACGAATTAACTTTAACTCGGAAGACCTAACGTTCAAATTTTGAAACACAGGTAAATGCGGTGAAACTGGAGCAAGTGCTGCGCAGAGTAACCTGGCAAGCTGGCTGCTGCTGGTGGCGACGGCGACATGGCTTCACCTGCACAGCTGAGGGACAAGTGCCGAAAAGCACAACTTGACATAGGCATCTAAGCGTGACAAGCCAAAGCGCTATGTATACATCACTAATTCCCCAAAACAAAATCCCATTATGATCGACATGTATACAAGACACATCTAAGACTTATTGTATATTTCGTGTAGTATGATAAGTGTGAGGCGATATCGAACCACTTCGCACTGGTTTGGCTGTACATAATGTATTGTTTTTCCTTTAGTAATGATACACACTTTTGTTTAGTTCTAAGTGCTTAAAATAAAACAAAAATAATATTTCGATAAATTAAGAAGAGCAGGACGAGCACACACAATATGGAAAATGGTTTGCAATACAGCCTTAGATCAGCGCTTTTTGTATTAGGCCTAGTAAAACGCGTCTAGTACTAAAAGTAGCGCCACTATTAACGCAAGTATGCTGCAAATGCTATTTATTTATAGTACGACTACCCAGTAAGCATTGAGAACATAAAAAAAACCAGAGAAAAGACATCAGAACTATACGAATACAAGCTAAAAGCTTTTTCGTTTTGTTTTTTGAAACCACCTTGTCGTGTGTTTTATGGCGTGTATTTTTTATATAATTTCCAAAATGTTTCCTACAACAAAGTACATATGAAACACAGAACGAAGGCAGAACAGTTTTAACTATACATATATAAATACGAAAAGTATTCGGAGGAAATCCGTTTTCGCGATGCTTTCAAAATGTACAAACAAGCAGGTGGCCCATTGTTGGTCACTCGATTATTATGCAGCGTACAGCGCGTCATACATATATGGCATAAATATACAATATATTTTTATGTACAAAAACGTAACGCAAAATCGTACATACATACAACCGAGTATATATATTGAATAACGTTTTGCATAGGATCGCATTGGTTTCATAATACATAATTAATACCTTGCAAAGTACGCATATATTGTATGATTCATTGTAATAGTTATATATACTGGCAAGCAAACATACCTAGGCATGTAAGAAAAAAGAGGAATTCGAGCAACTTTGATAAGTAGAGGCACACCACTTTCATAATCAATCAACTAACTTTGTAAGACACAACACAAATCAACTCACGACTCAACCAAACGAATAAAAGACGGACGATGTCAGGTCGGTAGACGAGGGACGCTAAAATAATTAAAGTGTTTAAGACAATTAAGCGGTGATATAGGTCTAGAATAAACAACTGTGTAAATCTCTGATAGAAGCACAACAGCTGCGGCAGCAGAAGAAACAGCCAGGCAACACATCTGCTGTGCTGCTAGAGTTCGAACGAGGAATTAATGATGATCAAGTGTATCCAAAGGATTTCAACAACTAGCATTTTTCTCTCGATGTAGTAAGCAAGCCTTTTGCCCAAATTCCAAAACATAAACGATCCAATAACGAGTATCGGTAATCAATTAAGGAGTAGCAAGGACACGAGCAGAGAGAGAGAGACCCCTTCAAGGCAACTAGTCAAAATTTATGAAGCGTAACTTTGAGTTCCATGTAAATAGCGAATGTAATGCGAATTGACCCCCGGTACGCGGTACGGTGTGTGTATACATATGTAACTAAATGCTAGTTAGCTAAAGGACGAATGGATTGAAACTTGGTGGGCACGAGCACAAGCACGAGCATGGACAGTGGCGTACGGAGCATAAGCGTTACTTTCTAAGTACTATGTATACATTCAGCAACACTCATATATAGACATACGAAGATAATGAATTATAAACTCGAACAGCAGGCAGAAAGTGGCCGACACCCACTAGGAATACACTAGGAAAACCGAATAGGAATCTGAATCGGAACCGGAAACGGAAACAGAAACAGAAACAGCAGCTCTCCAGATCGTTGTGGCCAGACAAATCAGTAGTCGTGATGTACAAAATGTACAATGATAATCGGATGGAGTAGCAGCCGCTGAGCATTAAACATTTTTTTGAGTGTACCTCTCTAAATAGGCATTTCCATTTGTTGTCAGCTTTTAAAACGTAAATACGAGCATATAAAAAAATAATAAAGACATTTTAAAGAAGAAATCCGAAAGACACATGAATCAAACGAAATATCGAATAATACTTGAAGTCAAGGGGCAGTTTTTTGGCCTGTCCTCCACCAGCGTGGACTGAAATTCCGTTTGGTAGCCGCTTTGCTGCTTTATTTTGCAATTGTTAAACTGAGACACTTTACTGTCCCTGTCCCTGTCCCCTCAATCCAATCCCCATTTCGATTTCTGACGCAGCTCCACTTGCAGCCCTTGTTTTCTTCTTTTCTCATTGTCAGAACTTTGCGTGTTATTGATGTTCCAAACGGTATCCACAAATGTATTCGAATGTTTCTAAAAACTGCTATTTAATTAAACAAAAAGCAAAAGGTAAACCCAAACCAAACAAAAACGTGCAACATATATTTTTGTAAATAGACGAAGCAACGCTTGAATTTTTATCAAATTTTTGTGTATGGCCAACTGCAGTCGACCGACTTATGTGTGATGGGCGGCCAGGCTCAGCTTGTGGGCGTGGCTGCTCCATCTGAGTGTGAACGCTAAGCATTAGAATTAAGTGATTTTTATATTCAAAGCGATTTTATAAATCATTTTAATTGTCTATTTTAACGAGTGGAACAAGCAGAAGGGAAACGAAACAAATTATGCCGTCAGTTTAGTTCATGTGTGTGAAGAAAAATGTATGCAATTTTCGTCAATAATTAAATGTTTTGAATACTGTGTTCTCACCTTGTTTGAATTTGTTTTTTAAGCTAATATAAATACAAATACAAACTAATTAAAAATATAAATAAAATTTGTTTTTATCTCGCTCAATTAGCCGGGACGACTTAATTGGAAGTGGCAATCAGCATCAAGATAAACTTCTAAATTAAGTCAAAATTAAACGACTAGGTATAGATTATCCAAATTCTATTTCCCGAAACAAAATAAGCATCGCTATAGTCGAGTAATATATACCCGTTAATCAGCTAACCATTTTCGAAATATATAAAACTATCTGACGAACTGCAGTACGCCCAATAACTGGCCTCTACCACGTTTAAGAGTGGCATGACTTCGCGATTGGTGGGAGTTAGAGTGGGAATGGACAAATTTTGAAATCATCTTGGTCTGTATACGAGAATCTCCGTGCTAAGTCCCAAAGCTATATTTTTTATAGTTTCCGATGAATCGACGTTTATACATGAAATCTGGCTAGACCGATTCGGCTCTTGATCCTGATCAAGAACATAACACTATGGACGGCAGTTCATATAGTGACGATGCGCACCTCGAGCGTGTGCATAGGAGACTACTGTATATACTATGTATAGTCGCAGAATTGGAAATCTACTGTGTTGCTCCGATCGTAACGAGTAACACACCAATCAAAAGGTATAGCTAAAAAAATATAGTCTGTTATCAACCTTTTCAAAAATTAATTTGTTCGGGAGAGCGGTCTTGGGATGCCACACCTCGTTGAATTCGTCATAAAATTTCCAACAAACTGGCATTCACAGCTTACAAATTTTGGGTTGGATCAAATTTCGAAAAAAAAATATAAAAAAACTTATAAAAAATGCTAAAATTGGCGACCTCCAAAAAATGAGTTTAAATTGCAGAATTTTTATCGAAACTATAAACTATAATGATTCAATGATGGAGTGCCAAACCTCGTTGAATTCGTCATAAAATTTTCAACACACTGGCATTCACAGCTTACAAATTTTGGGTTGGATCCAATTTCGTAAAAAATGGTGCTGGTACCCCTTATAAAAAATGATAAAACTGGCGACCTCCAAAAAATGAGTTTAAATTGCAGTTTTTTGATCGCCACTATAAATTATATTGGATCAATGATGGAATGCCATACCTCGTTGAATTCCTCATAAAATTTCCAACAAACTGGCATTCACAGCTTACAAATTTTGGGTTGGATTAAATTTCGAAAAAAATTTATAAAAAAACTTATAGTTTAAATTGCAGTTTTTTGATTAAAACAATGGAATATATTGGTCCAGTGTTGGAATGCCAACCCTCGTTGAATTCGTCATAAAATTTCCAACAAACTGGCATTCACGGCTTGAAAATTTTGGGTTGGATCTAATTTCGAAAAAAATTATGAAATTATAAAAAATGTTAAAATTGGCGACCTCCAAAAAATGAGTTTAAATTGCAGTTTTTTATCGAAACTATAAACTATAATGTTTCAATGATGGAGTGCCATACCTCGTTGAATTTCCAACAAACTGGCATTCACAGCTTACAAATTTTGGGTTGGATCAAATTTATAAAAAATTGGCGACCTCCAAAAAATGATAAAATTGGCGACCTCCAAAAAATGAGTTTAAATTGCAGTTTTTTGATCGAAACTATAAATTATAATGGTTCAATGATGGAATGCCATACCTCGTTGAATTCGTCAAAAAATTTCAACAAACTGGCATTCACAGCTTAAAAATTTTGGGTTGGATCAAATTTCGAAAAAAATGATGATGGTACCTCTTATAAAAAATGTTAAAATTGGCGACCTCCAAAATATGAGTTTAAATTGCAATTCACAGTGAAGTACCTTGGGTACCTTGGAAGCCGTATAAATTGGCTGCTTGTGCCTCTACTCGCTGGAAAGCCAAGAAGATGAGTTGAGGCAATACTAACACCCAAACTTTCCATGGGCATATATAGTTCTATTTTTCTGGAGTTGGCAGGACTGTTAAGTACATCTGGAACAAATTTCATGTAAATGTCATTGGGTCCTTTTAATATGCATAAAGCTGATTTATGCCAACATTTCAAAAAATTAAAAAAAAAAAACTTTAAAAAATCATGCATTTTTTCGCAATGGGATAATTTGCTATAGAATTACTTTTGGATACCCTTTAGAAATTATGTGATTTTTTCAAAAACTAGTTCTTTGATCGATTAACTACCAAAATCACCCGCCGATTTTGCGGGGTCTTGCTTTAGTATTCAAGAATCGCGGTTTTAAGTATGAACTTAATTTGAAGGAATGGCGTTTTAAAATGTCTAATGCAGTCCACCGGAGCCCAAAAGTATGCTGCATCCCTTATATATTCTCATACTCATAAAACACATACACAGAACATACATATAATAATGCTGAACACTGAAGGGTCGTTTTAACACCATCATAAAGCAATTTAAATATTTAAAAAATAAATAATGGTTTTTTAAAAATGCAGACGCAAAGAAGAAACAAAAAAAAATAAAGAGAACTTTTTGTTGAGATGATTATTTTACTAATATTGGCAGCCCCGGCACAAAAGATGTAATTTTTAAAAGTTGATAAGTCTTCAACCACTTAATATTTTTAAGTAACTTATAACTTATAATATTAACTTTTGTGTCATATACTCAAATGTGTGTTAAAATTAATTGAATATGTTTCCTACTTTTTTTTTAGCAATAAAATTTGCGAAAATTATAAATGTTTTCCGACTTTGGATTACAATAACTATATCTTTTAGAAATCCTTAAAATTTTATTTTTAGTTGGTTGAAAAAATCAATCTTTTAAGAAGATACTGTGGGGATGAAATTGGTTCCATAGTAGTCTTGCTAACGTGGGAAACCATCCACACTATACAAGAAACATGCTCATTTTTCTTAAAAGACTACTCCCACCTGACAATTGGATACTTGGACGACCCTCTAGTAGGAGACTCTTACAAGTCGCATAGACTGCCACACTGCTCAGTTTTGTAAAATATCTTTATTTTTTAACACATTTTCCTGGTACACTTTACATTTGTGAAAGTAAATTTAGTTACACACAATACACAAACCAAAAAAAGTTTTGTTTTTTCATAACAAAATTAATTTTAAATTTAATAAACAATTTTTAAGAAACAACAACAAAGAAAAAAAATCCCCGTTTAAAATTATAAAGGTATATATTCATATAGTTAATTATTTGTAATATACAGTATCGTACTGGGCCCATATTTCAAAATAAAGGTAAATTGTTTGCCTGTTTAAATCTAGTGTTGGAAAATAGACAAGGAATGCCCATTAGTTTAATGGTCACAAATACTGCCATGCCTTTTATAAAATTATTTTTAAAAACGGGTTATGCAGTTCGGTCTTGGAGTCAAATGCCACATCAATAGCTTGCTGAGTCATCTGTAGTAGTTAGCATCTTTAATCGCTGATGTTCCTTAAATTTGTAAGCTTACTCTGAAAAGCGTCCTGTTTGAACCTTTAAATATAATTTGATTAGAATAATAAAGGCCTCAAGGTCTTTTTTTTATATTAGGCTAAGTGACTGGATTTCACAGATTTTAATTTAATTTACATTTTTACATAGTTGCTAATAAATTAAAAAAGTTAATCCAAAATGCAAAACAAATCTAGTCAGTTAGCCATATTTAATAAAAAGATTTTTAAGGCATTTCTGGAATGTACCTGCATAATTGGAGACAGTTCACGCAGTAAATGTGGTGGTATCATCCTTCTTAAGGCACGAGGGACATCCTTCTTGAAGCCGCATTCTTTCAATGGTGGGTTGTTGAGTCGTCTTGACTTTGTCATGACAAGTGTCATGTTAGTTTATTGAAATTTATATCTCTTTGTTCATACATTTGGTGGGTGAGGTTTTTTATAGGGTATTTGCAATACCAAGGTAGGGATTCATTTTTTGGAGAAGGTACAAAGACATAGCATCAGAAACCTCACCCGAAAACCTGATGCTGAATTCGTTCGAACGATAAGAATGTGAAAGGGGAGTGAAGTTTTAATATTTTTAGGGGTTTGCGGTTCTTTAAAATAAAATTCATGAAGAGCAAATTCCGGAAGATTGTTAGGATGATAAAAAATACAAAAACGTATGATTTTCTCAAAAAAAATTAAAAAAACAAGGTGTTTAGATCGTAACAAGGTATAAATATTATTATTAATTTAAAATATATATTCGTGCTGTAGAATATTAAGAAAACATTTACTAAGACCCGCATCCATTATAATGATGTTATTTTAAAGTAACTATAGATGATATGAGAAATAGGCAAAAACAAGCAATATTTAAGCCACAATTGCATAAAATTTACAATCATCTAAAATGCTTTGCCTAGTGGTATAAGATAAAATGGCTTGCCTTGCTTGAGTGAATTTTATTGACAATTTATTTATAAAACATGAAAGCAAAAGTCAATGAATTTTTTGTATATGCTGAATGCATAACTTTTTTAATTTAATGATTAGTGGGCTTTACTAACTAAAACTAGAAAATATTAGAAACCCGTTAGACAGCTAACCAATTTCAAAGTCAATATGCCGGCAGAAAGTAATTGGGTTTTAGGTATCGTCAACTAATAAAATGTTTTATTTATACTAATAACTTCTAAGATAGAAGTTCGATTTGGAAGATGTTTGTGTGAGTCGATATTTTTTAATTAAACTTGAATCTGCTTGTTAATTCCCATATTTATAGCTCTTTTTGCAAAGACTGAGTTTTTTATCAAATATACTTTTTAAGGTCGGAAAGGTTTCCTTCAACCTGTAACATACTACTATACATACAATATACCCTCTAACTCTTAGAGTAAAGAAATATTTAGTGGTTTTCTGTTTTAAGATGAGTATCCAAGCGTATTTCAGGTGTAAACAATCGTTAAGTTTTATCCTTTTCATTTTATTATTTTAAAACTTTCTGTGAAACTTTAAGTATTTCAATATAATTTGTGTACAAAAACAACAACGGTAGAGGAGGTAATGAATGTGGAAGAGTTTTTTTTAGTAAAAAGTCAATTTACTACATCATTTTTTTTATTCCAACATGCTAATAAATCTTACACCACTTTTAAAGTTATAGACTTATATGCAAGCATAATTATTGGAAATATCAATATAATAACTAATTTTGCTCTTCACGCTGATTAGTATTTTTACCTTACAAAAATTTCGTGCAAACAGGAAAGTTTTGTGGGTAAGCGATGCTTGCTATGCAATAAAACAGATTAAGTGGATTACCATTTAAGCATTCGAGTATTATGTTTAAAAACATATTCAATTTTGTAAGCGGAAACCGAAGATAAACATCTATAGACACATTTAATTTCGATCATGTTAAATGTTTCTAACGGCGTTTGTGCATTTATATTTTTGATAGGTTTTCCTTTGTAGGTAAACTTCAAAATAAAATTGTTTCACCAGTTTTTGAAAATTAATTCTACCTCATATTTTTTTAAAAGCATGTTTCCCATTTGCATTTTAAACAGAACGAAAAATAGCTAGCACAACTAAAGCACTTTTTTAAAGATGCTTACAGATTGGCTTTAATTAGCTGTTATCGAGGAATTAAGAATCATATCAAAACTGGTCACTGTTTTAATTATTCTTTAGTAATTCTATGCTGATGTTATTAGGGTTGATACTCTTTTTACATCCGTTTCTATTAAACTTTAGTAATGTGATGCTGACGCATAATATATGTCTTATTAAGGTTGATATTTTGTTTTGTATACGTTATATTTATCCATGTTTTATGAATCATTAGCGTGGCTTAGGCATTCCAAATCGTGGAGTGTAGACCAAATCCAGTAGTTGACGTATTTATGAATATAATGAATTCATGCCTGGTATTGTTGATACTAGATAATTTTATGTCCTGGTAAATGTTGTTTTTGACTTCGCATCCCTTTTTTATTTTGAAGAATTTAATTATTAGATGTGTCCAGGTCAATACATGTGTTTGTGAAGTTTTCAAAATGTTTAGCCTTGTCAAAGCCTTCTATTTTACAACGGCGATTAAGCATTGATATATGAGCAAATTTTGCACAGAATCCAGTTTTATGTTTAAGAAATGTATAATAAATGAAGTAAAAGAATATAAATCGCCAAAAAAGATATCCGTTTGAGAGACGTTTAAAAAGATTGATGGGTATCCAATTTAAAATTATATTTTTGGTTTCCTTTCGGATTTCATAGTTTATTGATAGTTCGGTATTTATTCCACTAACAGTTGATACAATTTTATTGGGTTGCCATATTTTTAAGTCGAATTGTCAATTATATTAATTTAAATCTTTATGTAATTCATACATATTCTTTAATTTCAAATATTTTGTTCATTTTTAGAATTTACCTTTTTTTGTTATGGCCTCAAACTTTTTGATAAGTTTTAAAAATATTGAATACTGTTTAGAAACATATTGCATTTATATAAGGTGAATATTTTTTATATATAATCCTAATATTTTTTTAATTATATTTTTTAAAACAGCTCATTTTTAAAAGAGCAAGCGTATTGCGTATATTTTAGAAATCCTAACAGAGTTCTTTAGTTCAAGGCAAACTTGGGAATGTCCTTCCATAAATAGCTTTCGCGTGGTTTTGAAAAGCTGGTTATTGAAGTCTCAAAATCATATCAAAACATACAATCTTTTCAAATAGACATAAATTGCTTTTTAGTTATTTGTTGAATTTAATGTCGTTTTTTTCATTCAAGTCTGGTTAAACAATGCTTTCCAGAAAGTGCAGTGAAAAATAAATACAGCAGAAAATGTAGTAAAATCCTAACTTGATATTTAAAAATGTATTGGTTTTGGTAATTGTTTTTCATATTAGTTAATCCGATGTTAATAGGATGTTATATAATGTTTAGATTATTCGAACTTTATGTAATTACGAATTTATTTTGAAGAATTTAATAGGAATGTAATCCTGAGAGTTTTTACGGCAACGACTAGTTTTAATATAGTTTTTAAACTTTTAACCATTAAGCAGCTTTACATATTGATTGAGCAATGGTTAAAGCAGCTAAGGATAAAATTATCCTTAGCTTTTTGTATGAGTGACAATTATTAACCTAGATCAGACAATTTGTAGTGTGCATATTTTGTATCTTTACAAATTATGTGAAATTCATGCATCAGTTGGCTTCTTAAGTTCGGTTGGCTACGCAAAAATGCACTAGGCTTCTTTGTAGAGTTTGTTTTTTTGATTTTTCCAAAGTTAGGTTTGTAAGATTAAGTAAATGTATTGAACAATTCAAAGTATTATAATAAGTCAGATACATTGAAATTGTCATCTATTCCTTTGAGATGCTTATATGTACTCCATGGTAAGTTTTAATGCTTTCTTGAGCGGCATTTTTTGTAAAATTGTGTCTATTGTTTATTATATGTTTTGTATTACTAGAAGAGTTCGACAATTTACAACACGTTTTCCAATTAATAAGATGACGATAAACCATTCCATTTATTTATTGATAATTTGTTTTTAAATTAAATTGAATCTTATAACTTTATGGAAACTACATTTACAAAGCATACCGCACCTTTCAGATTTTTATAGTTTGCATACTTTATATCATGGAAACCAATACTTTTTCGTGTGGAAGTCATAGGGAATGGTTAGAGGTTTTTTTGGGAATTTTAGATGTTTTATGAAATAACACCAACATACTCACAAGGAAACACCGTACGATTTAAAAGTCATACCTTTAGTTACTAAAAAGTTTACGATCTAAAATCGATTTAAATAACACATTTTCGTGTGGAAATCATAGGGAATGGTTAGAGTTCCTACCTAATGTTTTAGAAATTATCAGATAATGTTTTATGAAATAACACCAACAAATTTACAAGGAAACACCTTCAGATACTTAGAAGTTTACGATCTGGAATGGACACTCTTTGAACCCTACCTAATTCGATCTAAAAGATATACCTTTAAAATTTGTATAGCTTTCATTCATTTAATCATGGGGAAGAAGACGTAGGGACAGTTTAAGTTCTTTCCTAAGTTTTTACAAATTTTTAGAAAACGTATCAAGAAATAAGACCAACAAATTCACAAGGGAATACCGTACGTATTAAAAGTCCTACCTTCAATTACTTAGAAGTACGCTTTAAACCTTACCTAAGTTGATTTAAATAACAACACCATTTCGATTTTTATAGTTTGCATTCCTATTATCGTGGGGAAGAAGTCGCACCTACAGGTTAAAGTTACTACCTTATTATTTTTAGATAATGTTTTATGAAATAACACCAACAAATTCACCAGGGAATACCGTTCGTTTTAAAAGTTATACCTTCAGTTAATAAGAAGTTTTCGATCTAAAATGGACACCCTTGAAGCCTACCTAATTTTATTTAAAAATAAAACATTTACGATTTTATAGCTTTCATTCATTTTATAATGGGGAAGAAGACGTAGGGACAGTTTAAGTTCTTTCCTAAGTTTTTACATGTATTTAAAAAACGTTTTAAAAAAATACCAAAAAATTCACAAGGAAACACCGTACGATTTAAAAGTCCTACCTTCAGTTACTTAGAAGTTTACGATCTAAAATGGACACGCCTTGAACCCTCATTCGATTATAATAACAACACCTTTTACATTTTTAGTTTTTCTACATACTCTACTTACAGCGTAGAGAAGAAAACACTGTGGCAGAAAAATCTACCTCCTAATTAAATTTTAAGAACAACGCCTTTTAAATTAGTATAGTTTGCATATATAAAGTAAAAAATATCCGAAAATTTATTGTGAAAAAACCAAAAAAAAATAACAATACCGTATTTATTAAAAGATATTCAAAAGCTTATGATCATGGTTGTGCATACTTCATGAGGAAATTCTACCTAATTCTATTTGAAGAACAATACATATTTGATTTTCATAATTACCTATTATCATGTGTAACAAGATATTGCTTTGTTACAACCAAAAATAACTGAAAGTTTTAAGAAAATAATGTATGAAATAACACCAAAAACTGCACCGTTTGTAATAAAGGTCATACCTTCAGTGGTAAAAAAAAATAACACCTTTTAAATTTTGAATTAGTTAATTAATTTTTAATGAAATAACACAAAAAAATTCTCGATAAAATACTGTATGTATATTTATATATAAATCAAAGCCAAAAAAAATTAAACTGAGTACAAAATATTTGGATTTGCTACGTATGTTTTTACCAATGTGTGGTCGAAACCTTCTTCATATTTTAGAAAAAGATTTGTATGTATATTTTTATGCTGTTAAATTTGTTGTAGAAATTACATTGAGATTATGATTTTGGGTACAAAACTTCATAATTTCTTTTGCATTAGTATATTTTAGAAATCCTATCAAAGTTCCTTAGTTCTTGTTTTTTAACAAATTGATTTGCATTTGAGTAAGCAAATAATCGAAATAAGTAAACAAAACTAGAAGTAAACTTGGAAACAAAACAGCAAGCACCACGGAAGCCTTGTTTTTTCAATTAAAAGTTTTCCATTTGTGTTTATAAGCTGTTAGTAATGACTCAAAATCATATTGAAACAAACAATCGGGTCAAATAAACATAATAAAAAGAATTAAAGAAGAAAGTTTAGTACAAATCCTTACACAATATTTAAAAATGTGTCCAGTTCTGTAATTGTTTTCAATATCAGGTAATGTTAATCGGATGTAAATAGTTACATCATGTTTAGTATTCGAAGATTTACGTAATTACGAATTTGAAGAATTTAATCGGAAAATCTTACATTTCTGAGAGTTTTCACGGAAACGTATGCTTTAATATAGTTTTCTAAACTTTAAGACTTTTAAGCTTTTTTACAGCCCTTTCTTTGCCATTTATAAATTTAACCTTTATATTTCGTGTGAATGAAATGTTTAGGTTCAAATCAGACCTTTTGTAGCGTGCATACTTTGCATAGTTTGCAAATATCTGCATAAAGATTATAGACGGGAAATCAATGCAGCCATTAAGCTTCTTTAGTAGGGCTAGCTGCGCGAATTTTCATGCTAGTATTTGGCTCCTTTAAAAAATTTAGCAGGGAGAAAATATAAGTTTCTTGACTTTTATTTGTCAAATGCAAAGCCAGGTTTGTCAGATTAATTAAACAAGAAAACATTTTATCTGTCTAAGCTATTTAAGTAACACTTATATATAAAATACCATGTATTTCTTTCGGATTTAAATATAAACTCTTTCTTAAGTTGTTTATTCATTTGTGAGCTGTAGTTTTCATAAATGGAATCTTTTATTAAACAGACGTTATTGTATTAGGAGAAAAGTTTTACATTTCTAAAACGATGGTAAATTAATAAAATAACGATAAAACAAAAACATGTTTAATAAATGAAATCGTAATTAAAATTTCTTGGTTATCGTAAATCAATTTTGCGCAGTTGTTTTCAAATTTAATTGCGTAATACATTATCAGAACAACATTTTCGAACCATTTATAAACTAATAATTAATAATGTGAAATATACACATTTAGTAGTTCACGATCTTGAATGGGCACACCTTATATAGAAACTTTAAGTAATTCGATTTAAATAAGGGCACATCATTAGATTTTTTTTAGGTTGCATACCTTTTATCATGGGGAAAAATTCATAGAAAGTCATAGTCATAGAAACTTTTCAGAAAAAGTTTTTTCACCAACAAACTCACGAGAAAATAGCATACGTTTTAAAAGTCCTACTTTCACCTGTTCTGAAGAAAGCTTGCCAAATTTGATAAAAGACATATGTTCGAGTTTTTAACTTGCATACCTTTTACCATTGGGAACAAATTATTGTGAAATAATTTTATTGAAAATGTTCAGAAAATAATTGATCAAAAAACACCAAAAAAAATTACCATATGTATTAAAAGACCTTATTTTAGAAATTTATATGCTTACGATATTCAATAAGGTCACCCTTTGATAGAAACCTGATTTCGATTTAAATGGCAACACCTCTTAACTTAGTGGGACATATTAAAGTTCCTTATCAATTGTATTGCAAGTTTCAAATAATGTTTTAAAAATAACACCAAGAAATTCACGATGAAATACCTGAAGTATAAAACACCTACCTTCACATGTTCTGAAGAAACCTTACCTAATTTGGTTTAAAAAACAAGACCTTTTAAATTTTTATACTTTGCATACTTTGCATCATGCGGAACAAAACATTCTGCAGTATTAAAGTTCCTACCTAATTTTATTGAAAGTTTTCAAAACAGGATTTATGAAATAAAACAAAAAATTTCACCAAATAAAACCGCATGTACTAAAAGTCCTTCCTTTATAAAACCTACCCATTTCGATTTAAGTAACAACACCTTTAATATTTTTATAGTTTGCATACCTTTTATCATGGGGATTAAAAGATTGTGACAGATCAAAGTTCCTACCTTCAGTGAGTATTGAAGGTCATAAAATACCTTCCTTCAGTGATTTAGATGATAACGATCTTCAACGACTTATTTTGGAAACCTACCTAATTCGATTTAAATAACAACACCTTTTAGATTATTTTATTTTATATATTTGAAATCATGCTGAAAAAATTATTTTGATATTCTTCAACACAATGGAATACCGCACGTATAAGAACTATTACCTTCACTTATTTCAAGGCTTACGATCATGAATACGCACACCTAATAAAAAAACTACATAAATTGATAAAAAGAGCAACACCTATCAGATTTTTATAATTTGCAAACCTTATATCATGGGGAATAAGCTCTTGTGACATCTTAAAGTTCCTACCTAATGTATTGAACGAATTCGCAAGGGAATACCGTACGTATTAAAAGTCCTACCTTCAGTTACTTAGAAGTTTACGTTCTAAAATAAACACCCCTTGAACCCTACCTAATTATATTTAAATAACAACACCATTTCGATTTATATAGTTTGCAATCCTTTTATCTTGGGAAAGAGGTCAAAGCGACAGGTTAAAGTTCCTACCTAATTTTTTAGAAGTTTTAGATAATGTTTTATGAAATAGAATAACCGTACGTATTAAAAGTCCTACCTTCAGTAACTTAGTGACTTACGATCTAGAATGGACACGCCTTAAATCCTACCTAATTCGATTCATGTAACAACACCTTTTCGATTTATAAAGTTTGCGTTTGCGTTTTATAAAATAACACCAAAAAATTCACAAGGGAATACCATACGTATTATAAGTCCTACTTTCAGTTACTAAGAAGTTTACGATCTAAAATGGACACACCTAATTCGATTTAAATAATACATATTCGTGTGGAAGTCATAGGGAATGGTTAGAGTTCCTACCTAATATTTTAGAAGTTATCAGATAATGTTTTATGAAATAACACCAACAATTTCACAAGGAAACACCGTACGTTTTGAAATTCATACCTTCAGATACTTAGAAGTTTACGATCTGGAATGGACACTCTTTGAACCCTACCTAATTCGATTTAAAAGATATACCTTTACAATTTTTAAAGCTTTCATTCATTTTATCATGGGGAAGAAGACGTAGGGACAGTTTAAGTTCTTTCATAAGTTTTTACAAGTTTTTAGAAAACGTACCAAGAAATAAGACCAACAAATTCACAAGGGAATACTGTATGTATTAAAAGTCCTACCTTCAGTTACTTATTGACTTATGATATAGAATGGGCACGCCTTAAACCCTTCGATTCATGTAACAACACCTTTTCAATTTATAGTTTGCGTTTTATAAAATAACACCAACAAATTAACAAGGGAATACCGTACGTATTAAGAGTCCTACTTTCAGTTACTCAAAAGTTTACGATCTAGGAGGGAAACACGCCTTAACTCCTACCTAATTTGATTTAAATAACAACACCATTTTGATTTTTATAATGTGCATTCCTTTTATCTTGGGAAGAGGTCATAACGACAGGTTAAAGTTCCTACCTAATTTTTTAGAAGTTTAAGATAATGTTTTATGAAATAACACCAACAAATTTACAAGGGAATACCCTACGTATTAAAAGTCCTACCTTCAGTTACTAAGTGGTTTACGATCTAGAATGGACACGCCTCAAACCCTACCTAATTCGATTAATTTAACATCACACTTTTGACTTATATAGTTTGCGTTTGCGTTTTATAAAATATCACCAACAAATTCACAAGGGAAAACCGTATGTATTAAAAGTCCTACTTTCAGTTACTTAGAAGTTTACGATCTTGAAGGGAAACACGCCTTAACCCCTACCTTATTTGATTAAAATACGACACCAATTTGATTTTTATAATTTGCATTCCTTTTACCCTGGGAAGAGGTCATAGCGACAGGTTAAAGTTCCTACCTAATTTTTTAGAAGTTTTAGATAATGTTTTATGAAATAACACCAACCAATTTACAAGGGAATACCCTACGTATTAAAAGTCCTACCTTCAGTTACTAAGTGGTTTACGATCTAGAATGGACACGCCTTACCTAACTCGATAAATTTAACAACACCCTTTCGATTTATATAGTTTGCGTTTGCGTTTTATAAAATATCACCAAAAAATTCACAAGGGAATACCGTACGTATTAAAATAATTAGTGGATTACGATCTAGAATGGACACATCCTAAACCTTACCTACGTTGATTTAAATAACAACACCACTTCGATTTTTATTGTTTGCGTTTGCGTTTTATAAAATATATCCGACAAATTCACAAGGGAATACCGTATGTATTAAAAGTCCTACTTTCAGTTACTTAGAAGTGTACGATCTAGAAGGGAAACACGTCTTAACCCCTACTTAATTTGATTGAAATACGACACCAATTTGATTTTTATAGTTTGCATTCCTTTTATTTCGGGAAGAGGTCATAGCGACAGGTTAAGTTCCTACCTTATTTTTTCGACATTTTAGATACTGCTTTATAATATAACACCAACATATTTTTACTTTTTCGTGAGGAAGTCATGGGGAATGGTTAGAGTTCCTACCCAACTTTTTAGAAGTTATCAGATAATGTTTTATGAAATAACACCAACAAATTCACAAGGAAACACCGTATGTTTTAAAAGACATTCCTTCAGATACTTAGAAGTTTACGATCTAGATTGGACACTCTTTGAACCCTACCTAATTCGGTTTAAAAGATGTACCTTTACAATTTTTATAGCTTTCATTCTTTTAACATGGGGAAGAAGACGTAGGGACAGTTTATGTTCTTTCCTAAGTTTTTACAAGTTTTAAGAAAACATTTCAAGAAATAAGACCAACAAATTTACAAGGGAATACCGAACGTATTAAAAGTCATACCTTCAGTTACTTATTGACTTACGATCTAGAATGGACAATCTTACCTAATTCGATTCATGTAACAACAGCTTTTCGATTTATAAAGTTTGCGTTTGCGTTTTATAAAATAAACCCAACAAAAGGTTAAAGTTCCTACCTTATTTTATTTATTTTTATTAGAAGTTTTATATAATGTTTTATGAAATAACACCAACAAATTCACAAGGAAACACCGTATGTTTTAAAAGACATTCCTTCACATACTTAGAAGTTTACGATCTAGATTGGACACTCTTTGAACCCTACCTAATTCGGTTTAAAAGATGTACCTTTACAATTTTTATAGCTTTCATTCTTTTAACATGGGGAAGAAGACGTAGGGACAGTTTATGTTCTTTCCTAAGTTTTTACAAGTTTTAAGAAAACATTTCAAGAAATAAGACCAACAAATTTACAAGGGAATACCGTACGTCTTAAAAGTTCTACCTTCAATTACCTAATTCGACTAATGTAACAACACCTTTTCGATTTATATAGATTGCGTTTGCGTTTTATAAAATATCACCAAAAAATCCACAAGGAAATACCGTACGTATTAAAAGTCCGACTTTCAGTTACTTAGAAGTTTACGATCTAGAAGGGAAACACGCCTTAACCCCTACCTAATTTGATTTAAATACGACACCATTTATTTTTTATAATTTGCATTTTTTTTATTTTGGGAAGAGGTCATAGCGACAGGCTAAAGTTCCTACCTTATTTTTTCGACATTTTAGATACTGCTTTATAATATAACACCAACATATTTTTACTTTTTCGTGAGGAAGTCATGGGGAATGGTTAGAGTTCCTACCCAACTTTTTAGAAGTTATCAGATAATGTTTTATGAAATAACACCAACAAATTCACAAGGAAACACCGTACGTTTTAAAAGTCATACCTTCAGATACTTAGAAGCTTACGATCTAGAATGGACACTCTTTGAACCCTACCTAATTCGATTTAAAAGATATACCTTTACAATTTTTATAGCTTTCATTCATTTTATCATGGGGAAGAAGACGTAGGGACAGTTTATGTTCTTTCCTAAGTTTTTACAAGTTTTAAGAAAACATTTCAAGAAATAAGACCAACAAATTCATAAGGGAATACCGAACGTATTAAAAGTCATACCTTCAGTTACTTATTGACTTACGATCTAGAATGGACAATCTTACCTAATTCGATTCATGTAACAACAGCTTTTCGATTTATAAAGTTTGCGTTTGCGTTTTATAAAATAACACCAACAAATTCACAAGGGAATACCGTACGTATTAAAAGTTCTACTTTCAGTTACTTAAAAGTTTACGATCTAGAATGGAACACGCCTTAATCCCTACCTAATTTGATTTAAATAACAACACCATTTTGATTTTTATAATTTGCATTCCTTTTATTTTGGGAATGAGGTCATAGCGACAGGTTAAAATTCCTACCTAATTTTTTAAAAGTTTTAGATAATGTTTTATGAAATAACACCAACAAATTCACAAGGGAATACCGTTCGTTTTAAAAGTTATACCTTCAGTTAAAAAGAAGTTTTCGATCTAAAATGGACACACCTTGAATCCTACCTAATTTTATTTAAAAATAACACCTTTACGATTTTTTTAGCTTTCATTCATTTTATCATGGGGAAGAAGACGTAGGGACAGTTTAAGTTCTTTCCTAAGTTTTTACATATTTTTAAAAAAAATACCAAAAAATTCATAAGGAAACACCGTACGTTTTAAAAATCCTACCTTCAGTTATTTAGAAGTTTACGATCTAAAATGGATATGCCTTGAACCCTCATTCGATTAAAATATCAACACCTTTTACATTTTTAGTTTTTTTACCTTACACCGTAGGGAAGAAGACACTGTGACAGAATAATCTTGCTTACCTAATTAAATTTTATGAACAACGTCTTTTAAATTAGTATAATTAGCTTACTTTATAATACGGAAAAGAAGTCAGTGTGACAGCTTAAAGTGTCTACCTATTTTTATTGTAAATTTTCAGAAATTTGTGAAAGCAAACAAAAAAAAAATAACAATACCGTATTTATTAAAAGGTATTAAAAAGCTTACGATCATGAATGTGCATATCTCATGAGGAGATTATACTACAAGATTCTAAAAGATATTGCGTTGTTCCCACCTAAAATTACTGAAATTTTTCAGAAAAGAAAGAAAGTTTTTTAACTTTCAGTGGTAAAAAATAAGAACCCCTTTTAAATTTTTATAAAAATTACAAAAAGTAATGTCTTTAGTTATTTTGTAGTTACGATTTTGAATAGGCACAGTTCATGAAGAAACCCTCCCTAATTTGTTTAAGGAGTAACACCAATTATATTGTTATGAGTTGTACATTTTTTATAATGGAGAGGAAGTCATTGTGACAGTTTAAAGTTCCTACTCAAGCTTTCATATAATTTTTAATGAAACAACACAAAAAATTTAAATTAATATAATATAATATAATATAATATAACGAATTGCAACCGATTTCTATGTAATAACATACCTCTTAAATAATACAAAACTTGATACATTATAGCATGAGGAAGAAGTCATAAGTAAATAACAACACCTTCTCGATTTTTCGATAGTTGGATTCCTTATATGATGGAAATGAATTCATAGGACAGGTTAAGTTTCCTACCTAATTTGGTACAAGTTTTCAGATTATGTTTTATGAAATAAAACCAACAAATTCACGGAATACTGCTTTACTTATTCAGAAATTTACGATCTGGGGTGGACCACGATATTAAAAATGTTACCTAATTCAATTTGGCTAACAAGATTTATAGTTTGCATATAAATTGACACCAATTAATTCAATGTTTGCAGATCATTGATCATTGGGATCAAGACATTGTGACAGATTAAAATTCCTACCTAAAGTTTTAAAAGTTTTAAAAAAGGTTTTAAGAAATAACACCAACAAAATCGCGAGAAAATACCGATTGTTTTAAGTCCCAAAAGTGCTACATTCATTCAAACACTCCTTACACTGATAAATATTAAAAGTAAATATTTGAATTCCAAACTTTATATGTAATGTTTAAATTAAAAATTAAAAATGTAAATATATGAATTTCAAACTTTATATTTAATGTTTAAATTAAATATAAAATCATAATATTAAATACAATGCATTTTTATTTGTATGATTTAGTATTGAAATGTATTAATTATTAAGAAAACTATTTGGTTTAAACGCTCTACATTTAAATTAAATATGTTCTTAATTTAAAATACATTTTTAGATATTAAAATCTTTTCCGATAAAAATAAACTGAAAACTTTTAAAAATTTTAATTTTATTATTTTAATATTTATATATGGAAATCAATTCGATACATACTTAAACTGAGTACAAAATATTTGAATTTGCTACCAATGTGTGGTCAAAACCATCATAGTTCTTCATATTTTAGAAAAAGATAAGTATGTATATTTTTATGCTGTTAATTTTGTTGAAAAGATTACATTCATATTATGATTTTGGGTACCGGTTAGTTGTACAGAATTTCATGGCTTCTTTTGCATTAGTATATTTTAGAAATCCAATCATAGTTCTTTAGTTCTTGTTCTTCAACAAATCGATTTGCAATTTTAGTAATCAAATAATCGAAATAAGTAAACGAAACTAAAGGTAAACTTGGAAACAAAACAGCAAGCACCACTGAAGCCTTGTTTTTTCAATAAAAAGTTTTCCATTTGTGTTTATAATCTGTTAGTAATGACTCAAAATCATATTGAAACATACAATCGGGTCAAATAAACATACACTGTATGCTATCAACTTATTAAAAAACATTTAGCAAGTGGTTTTAACAGTGCACTCTAGAAAGTGTAGTGAAAAAGAAATAAAGAAGAAAATTGAGTACAAATCCTTACACAATATTTAAAAATGTGCCTAGTTCTGTAATTGTTTTCAATATCAGGTAATGCTAATCCGATGTAAATAGTTACATAATGTTTAGTATTCGAAGACTTTTGTAATTACAAATTTGAAGAATTTATCGAAAAATCTTATTTTCCTGAGAGTTTTTACGGAAACGTATGCTTTAATATAGTTTTCTAAACTTTTAGGCTTTTAAGCTTTATTACAGCCATTTGTTTGCCATTTATAAATTTAACCGTTATATTTCGTGTGAATGAAATGTTTAAGTCCGAATCAGAACTTTTGTAGCGTGCATGCTTTCTACAGTTTACAAATATATGTATAAAGATTTAAGACATCATTGCATTTTAGAAATTAATGCAACCATTAGGCATCTTTAGTAGGGCAAGCTGCGCGAATTTCCATGCGAGTATTATGCTCCTTTAGAAAAGCTAGCAGAGCGAAAATATGAATTTTTTGAGTTAAATTTTTGTCAAATTCAAAGCCAGGTTTGTCAGATTAATTAAACGAGAAAACATTTTATCAGTCTAAGCTATTTAAGATACATCTATATATAAAATATCATGTATTTCTTTCGGATTTAAATAGAAATATAAACTTATATACTCATAAGTTCTTAACTCTTTTGTTAGCTGCACTTTTTTTAAATGGGGCCTTTTATTAATTAGGCGCTATTGTATCACTAGAAAAGTTTCACATTTCTAAAAACGATAGTAAATTAATAAGATAACAATAAAACCAAAATAAATTAAATCTTATTTTAAATGTCTTGGTTATCGTAAATCAATTTTGCTAAGTTTTTTTCAAATTTCGTAATACAACATATTCAGAACAACATTTGCGAAGCATATAAAAATATGACCGTAAGTCAAATAGGCATTAAACATAAATTCTTTTCACAGTGCAAATTAAAAATTATATTTAACAAATAAAAATAAAAACAAAAACTAATATATGTGAATTTTACACGATTTTAATGTAAATTGTAGGTAAACCTTGAATGAATGCCTAACTAAATACTTGGATGAAATTAATGGTTTTTGAAAAGAAAGTATATGCACAGAATTTAATTTTAAAAACAATTGTTTACATATTGAAAACAAAAATGCCTTTGCTATAGAATTCATAAATCGTACTGTCATATATATATATATATATATATATTAAATCGAGACAGTAAACCATATATATTTTTGTTTCAAACATTTTTAATTTTTGTAATACTGTCTTGACCTATTGAAGCATATTGAAAATGCATTATATAGAAATTAAGCGACAGATTATAGTTTCTACCTTATTTTATTACTAGAAACCTTAAAAAATTCGATTTAAATAAGAGCACCTTCTTAGATTTTTTAGGTTGCATACCTTTTACCACGGGAAAAGTTCATTAAGTCAGCAAGTTTTCAGAAAGTTTTTTCACCAACAAACTTACGAGAAAATAGCATACGTATTAAAAGTTCTATTCTGAATGAAGCTTGCCTATTTTGATAAAAGGAATAACATATGTTCGAGTTTTCAACTTGCATACCTTTTACCATGGGAAACAAATTATTGTGAAATAAAAAATGTTCAGAAAATAAATAATGAAATAACACCAAAATATTCACCATATGTATTAAAAGTTCTCCTTTTATCGATTTCAATGCTTACAATCTTCAATAAGGACACCCTTTGATAGAAATCTGATTTCGATTTAAATAGCAACACATTTATTAGAAATACAGCATCTTCTTAGATGTTTAACTCAGTGTGACATATTAAAATTAAATTGTATTGCAAGTTTTTAGATAATGTTTTAAAAAATAACACCAACAAATTCACGATGAAATACCTTAAGTATTAAGTATTACCTAAACTTTTTTAAATAGGAACACCTATTAGATTTTTATAGTTTGCATACTATTTATCATGCGGAACAAAACATTGTGAAAGATAAAAGTTTATACCTAATATTAATGAAAGTTTTCAAAAAAGAAAAGACCTTCCTTTATGAAGCCTACCCATTTCGATTTAGGTAACACCTTTAAGATTTCTATAGTTGATTTATATCACGAGAAAGTAGACAAAACGACAGATTTACGTTTCTACCGAATTTTGTTTAATTTTTCAGATAGTAAAAATACAAGGGATACCTTAAAGTTTTTCGATGTTTACGGTCTTCAATGAGCAAATGGGTAGCTAATGTTTTATAAAATAACACCAACAAATTCACGATGGAATGTCATACAAATTAAATGTCATACCTTAACCTATTCTGAAGAAACCTTGCCTTATTAGATTTCGGGAAAAAACACCTATTCGAGTCATAATTGGCACACCTTTTGTCATGGGGAAGTTAATACCTAATTTAATTGCAAGTTTCCAGAAAATGAAACAAAACCAAAAAATGGAACTAGGAATACTTATTAAAAGTCCTTTCTTCAGTGATTTAGATGCCGACGATCCATAATAAGGACACCTACCTAATTCGATTTAAGTAACAACGCCGTTTAGCTTTTATAGTTTGTATAAGGCATACATGGAAAAGAAGTTGTAGAGACAGGTTAAGGTTCCGACCTAATTTTTTACAAGTTTCAAGTAATGTTGACTGTATGAACTAAAAGTTCAACATTTAGTGATTTAGATTTTTACGATAATAAATAACACCAACAAATTCACTAGGGAATACCGTACGCATTAAAAGTTCTACCTTCCTTTATTTAGAAGTTTATGAACTAGAATGGACAGGGCTTGAACCCTACATTATTCGGTTTAAATAACAATACCTTTTGATTTTTAGTGAGCATTCTTTTTATCATGGGGAAGATGTCTTAGGGGCACATTGTAGTTCCTACCTAATATTTAAAAAGTTTTCGGATAACGTTTTATGAAATAACACCAAAAAATCACTAGGGAATACCGTACATTCTAAAAGTTACACCTTCAGTTACTTAAAAGTTTACGATTTAGAAGGGACATGCATTGAACCCTACCTAAATAACAATACATTTTCGATTTTTATAGTTTGCATTCCTTTTATTATGGGGAAGAAATCAAAGGGACAGGTTATTTTTCCTACCTATTTTTTAAGAAGTTTTCAGATAATGTTTTTTAGCAGCAACAAATTCACAAGAGAATACCGGACATATTGAAAGTCCTCCTTATTGTCATTTACAATTATAACGATAAGGCGTGGATTATAAATTTTTTTAAGTTGCTACCTAGTTTTATATAACTTTATTATGAAACAACACCAAACAAAATTAGAAGCGTTTACCGTATGTGTTTAAAGTCCTACCTACAATCACTATCTTGAAGGAGAATACCATTTGAAGAAAGCCTGTCGAATTTTATTAGTGAAACACCTTTTTAGGTTTTTAATACTTTTACCATATTACCATAATAATATTGTTTTGTTTACAAGTTTTCAATCACATTTAATGAAATAACACAATAAGCCACACAAATTCACCTGGGAACAGCGTATGCCTTTATAGATAGTACCATTTTTAGAACACAGTTCATAGTTATATGTAAATAGTCCTACCTGCTAAGTCGCTGGGTCTTTAAGTATTTTAACCTTTATTTTTAAAGTTAAATATTTCTGTTTAAAAGTTTTATTTAAATTTAAGTTGTTTGTCAATTAGTATAATTATACCTATGATTTTAGATTTTTGTTTACCAATGTTTTACAAGAATGTCATTTATTAACTTATAATTAGGTATTTAAACGTGTATATATTTCTTTATATATATTTTGGTTATTGTGTTTAACAGTTCAAACTAATCGTACCCTCCAAACAGAAATGTCCTAAAATTGTGAAGAAATATATATGCGAAACATACGTACTTTTTATCTGATATTTTAAACCTTGTAATCTTTCAGCGTTCAACAGAGATCAACGGCCCTTCCTTTTTGTGCAGACACTTGGTCCGATTTTTCGATTTGGATTCAGAACATCAGAGTAATTTATTTTGATAGACGAAGACTGTGGATGTAAAAGCCCTTCCTCCGTGGAATATTTACGACTGAAATCGGAACTAAGCTTGAAATAAAAAATATGACCAGCGAATTTTCGAAATTTATTATTGGAATTTTTGAATTTTTTATTTACTTTTTCTGTGGCTTTTCCATTAGGAAGCTCTTTTGGTATTCTTTTTTTTCCATTTGACAAGTAATTTACATAAGTACAGGTAATTCTTAATTTGTGAAGTGTACAAAAACAAAAAAATTCTGGTATATTAGAACATAAGTGAGACATTGTTGGTGTGGAAGTATATTCCGTATTGACTTTACAACTGAATAAAAGAACAAAATTAATTATTAACAACCAACTGGCGGGTTTCCGACCTCGTTGGTTCAATTACTAATCCAGAGACGATGTGTCATTGAACAGATTCAATATGATGCCAAGTTCAACCGATCACTTGCATGTATGTATGTCTGCACGTTGCGGAACTTTGTTCGATGATAGCGAGCCACTCCTCAGTGGCAACCTTTCGGTTGGGTTCCCGTTCACCCTTAGTGGAGCAGAGAAGTCGATACACCAGTGTTCCTATAACACAATCCGCACAATCAATCTGACAGAATCGAGCACCCTGACTGGTCCGCGACCCGAACACTAGACATACTGGTATACATATATGTAGTCTCAGTCACGGTCGCAGACCCAGCTTTCGGAAAAAACGCTGCAATCGGGCCGAGTGCATTTTCAGCACCCATATAGCCCCTTGCTCGCGCAGGGATCGACTTTTCACGGATCGATATCAACTTTCAACGCCCAACTATAAAGTTTAGAGAAAGAAATACATATTGCTTGGTTAGGTGGTATGGCAGAGTTGCAAATAGAGATGTTTACAAATATGATTAACAACTAAGTAAATGTTAAGACGACTACGAACAAGGTAGAATGCCAATAGCTGGAAAGTTTTCCGCTGAAAAACATTATGGATCGTTACCGGGGAGTAAAACGGAGGAAAGGCAAACAATGAGCACGGGCACAGTATACGATGTATTATAACGTATGCCGCAGCGGTTTTTGCGCAGCTGTCGTTGCCGTCCAATTACAATACATCCATATGTATGGGCTAGTGTGTACTAGTATGCAGTACATGTGTAGAAATGTGTATACCTGATTGGGAAAGAGAGGTAAACGGGGCGTAAAGAGTACGCTATTTTTAGAGAGAGCGAGAGCCAGTTGGTGGCCTTTCGATCCGGGGGTTGCAAACGAGAATCGAGAACATTCGACTTGTACAGAAATGTAAAATAGAAACGTGAAATAACGGAGAAAATATTCCCGGTTACACAACATGGCGAAATTGCATTTACTGCAAGAAACGACGCTCAGTGCGACGTTTGAAAACGTTTTTCGCTAGGAGGTCGATAAGTGGTTATTAACTACGTCTTAAGCTTAGATTGGGCTTACGAATAGAAATAGAACACGCTGGTTTCGCTGCTGTGCATGTATACCTGGCTTCCTATCCCAATTTATCATATCCGCAGGTCAGGGCCGTCGCCAATCGACTCAGAGAGTTGTCCCGCATATCCTGGATCTGCCTCAGACTGCCTAGTGTGGGTCACTTTCTAGCCAAAATCTAGAATCTCTGCCTCTGCAGCTCCAAAACTGCCTGACGCGTTACGAAATTCCCCGACGCTGACCAGCAAAATCGATGACTAATTCGCATCTTTTCCAGTGGATCTGGGGTTTCTTTGTTTCCAACTTGAGGGCAAATAATGCCCGACGTGGCTAAACACTACGTGGGCCCTGGCGTCATTTTGCAATACTCGTACTGCAGCTCTGCTTCTGCGACGCGATTTTTACACTTTTCCATTTCAGGATCCAATTATGGCACTGCTCGCTAACACCAGCAAGAGTGGAAAATTTCTTTGTACTAATTAAACTTGTTTTTTATTCTGTTACACTGCGACTTCACTTCAACACTTTTTCTTTGAGAGTGGCGTGCTCAGCTCGGGGCGGGCCTATTTATACCCGATCCACTGCCTTCGTGAAACATCTGCCAGTCTCTCGGGCCCGGGCCTTTGGCATTGGGCGTTGGAGTGAGTACACACTATATGTACATTTACCTCAAACTACGTGACTCGGTCTGGTTTCTCACGAGTTTCCATGTGTATCACTGTGCTACATAAACTACCCTCGCTTCATGGGAAAGTGGCTAAGCCGGGTAAATATGAACTGCGTGTTACCTGAGTTTGAAAACAACCCGTCATTACTAAACGTTCTGGAGGATTCTGGAAAAACATTTCAAATTTATAATTTACCCTTTGAATTAAACACAAGTTTGTTAAATTAAGTTTATCTCTTCTTAGCAAGCGCATTATATAAACTAGTGTTGCAGAACTTGACTAGTATAAAATATCACTTGTAAGCTTAAAAATCAGCTAATTTCAAAAATATCACTTTTAAAAATTAATATCAACAAAAACTTTGGTCAAATTTTATGAAGATTTTGTTGCATACTGTAAAATGGAATCATCTAGAGGGATAGAGAGAGTTTCTGATTTTGCATGGAGAGACCACCGAACACTGAAAATACAATTTTTGATTAATTAAGAATTGAATAACAAAACTATAAATTTAAGTGACTTTAAAAAACAGATTTAAATCGGTAAAATGATTGTCTCGAAAAGTTAAGTTTTGGGTTAAATCGTTTTCCGATTTAAATGAATTTAAAAGCGTGGTTCTAAATTATTAAACCATTTTTATGTTCAAAAAACGTTTCATAAAAAAAATTGTTTAATATTTTAATCATATTTGTAAAATAATTATAAAAAATATAATAAACCATTACTTAATATCGAACAACTAAACAAAAAAAAAACAGCATAGCAAATTATAAAAACGAGACCAGGCTAAATGGATTGTAACTTTGCTAATGTAGAATGTGATGTAATGTAAAATATATGTAAAAATATAACAGTCGTGAGGGTCGGGCGAAAACACCGTTATAACACAAAAGTTTTGTAGAGTTTTTATGAGGTTTTTTACCCTTGCAGCATATAGCTCGCATAGAAAAGCGTGAAGAAAAAGGAAAACAATTTATTTATTTATTTTTGTTTAGTTCTTCGAGATATAGTTTTGGTTTATTATTTCAGGAAATTTTTTATTTTAATTCATTTAAATTAAAATGAGTCGACATTAAAATGAAAACCAAAATTCTAACTTCATTATTTATATTTATATTTTTTGTTTTGTTTTGGATATTCTAATTGTTTAAAATTTCAAAATTTTAATTTTATTTATATAAACCATAGGGTAAATAATTGAGCTTATAGAAAATGTTATTTCAGGTCGCATATTTGCTTGTTAGCAGGTGTGGGATTAAAATGGTTGGGTAAAGCAATAGTGAAGTGAGGACCGGATAATTCTGGTATGTCCTAAATCTCTGAACGGCTAAAATTCTGTCAGGTGTTGCATAGAAATTGCACTGGCTGAAAATTCAATTCTTAACTTGAGAATTTTGCTTAACTACTGAAAAGCCAGGACTTTCTCTCTTTTCCACTAAAATTAAGAAGACATCACGTGTTTCAACGTGAAAGTATTCACCAAATATATGCTTATAAAGAAGTTTTAACAGTTATTGCTTGTTAAAAAATCAATTTGTTCATGTTTTGTCTTTTCCTCTAGGCATTTTCAAAGAATTTAAGCAAAGGTCTTAACAAACAAATCTAGGGCAATTGACCAACGTCCTGATCAAGAATCAACTTAACAATAAAATAAACTTGTTTTCGGAAAGGAAAAGACTGGTTGGGAAAAACTTGTTGACATTACTTACCCAGAAAGTAGTCTATTATTTATTTTATCATTTGTGAAATAGTTTATTATAGCTGTTCAATTTATTTACTGTAACCAACCAAGTTACGCTTTTAATTTTATTAAAATCGGAAGACAACATCATACAGATGCCATAGGAAAAATCGAATAATTTAGCTGAAAATTATTCAAGCTTCAATGTTTTTAACATACACGCAATTTAGGTTTTTTAAAGACTGATTCATTGTTGCAATAGCTGCAAAGGTATATAAATTTCGGTTGATGAATAGAATAAACAAATATAAATAATCTTTATTTTTTTAGTTTTATATTAAATTCAATATTAATACCTAATAAAAATTTGTGTTTTAAAAATCAATAAATACATGTTATTGTCAAAAGCCATTGAGGAACATATAAGGTGTTACTGCTTGCAATCGTATTTTTTGAAGAACTAAAGAATAAGCTAAAAACCACCCCGGATTCGGTTCAGTGTACGCTGGCGAGTGGCCAAACATTTGTGCTGAGCCAAACACAAGGTTTTTGAACCTTTGGCCGCTGGCTTATCAGGAAAGCCAGCTGTTGCAAACGCACGCGCATCCTGCGAGCAATCGTCCTCGGGGTGGGTTGACTCCATGAACAGAGAGAGGGTCTCGAGTGAGTGACTTTGCGAGTGAGTTCCTGTTCAGCCTTGAGCAACAGAGTGCTCAGCTTCGAGCGCGAAATAAATGGTAACGAGCTGAGCTGCGAAACTTGAAAACTGCCATTAAACTTCAAACAAAAAGTATGCAAAGTTTGGATTATTTTGTATAGGTCGACTGAGATTTAATTGCCGACCCAGCTTAAGCAACTTGTCCAACGATGTCCGAATAAGGCGGAAGGTGTTTCAGGTTCCGCAATAAAGCCAAGTTGCATCGGAACAATTGCCAGGAAGAGGCACATAATCATAAACAAGCGGACAGGCGAAAGCAATTGACACGAGCAACAAAAGCGCCAGCATAATAGAGGCAGCACGGAAATTGCGTATACGCCGTGTGTCCTCTTGTTGCTTTCGGCTTTTTGTTTTGTTTCCTGCCGCAGGCGGGCACGCAACAAACAAAAGGAAGAAGTCAAATGGCATAATAAACGTATTTATGAAGGGGACCGAAATGAGCATATGACGATGAATTCCAGCCCCAGCCGGAGGTGTATGTTTGTTTTTGTTTTTGTTTTTGTGTGTTTTCGTTTTCGTTTTCGTTTTCATTTTTGTTTTTTGTTTGTGGCTGGGACGCAGCCTCCCACACGGTCGCCCTGACATTTCAACGATCCAACCTTGGATATTGCCAAATGTGGTCCTTCAGTTTTAAGCCTACAAAGTTGTGCGCTAAGCCTGCGAAAAGTACGGAACGGGAACGGTAGAAAACTACGGCATAAACATATAGGAGAGCTCTGTCATTGCATTTGAGGGCCGTTGGCTCAGCGCTCGCCGAATACATAGGCGGCAAGGACAATTGAGCGAGCGCCCGAGTGGGTGGCAGCCCCTCCCCTTCCCCCCCCCCAGCGAGTCCGAGTCCAAGAGCCGAAGTGACAGAGGGCGACTGTCGGCGGGCGCGGTTTGGCAACAGGGACCTACATTCAGTCGTATCCTGTCTGTCGGCTCTTATCGGCTCGCGTTGGCCTGAAAAACGAGCTGTCGCCGCCGCAGTGCCAGCAGTCCTCATTCAGACGCGAATCCGTTGAGTACGCGGTCGCCCCAGGGGCGGATGATTATATCCATTCCAGCGGATCCGCGACCCACAACATCACGGCATCACGGAAACGACCACGCGTAGTGTTAACCTTTCGAGTGTTCAAGCTGATTTATCCGGGGGAGTGTGTTTGTGTTTTTGGTTAAAGGGGGCCTCCAGGAGTTGCATCTGCAGATGGTGTGCAGTTTTCAGCACCGACAGTTTAATTAGTTTCTCCTCGGTTGATTTGTCAGCGCCTCAGCGTTGACACTTGGTCTTACGCCCCATTGGGCCCCAGGGTCTAAGGACCGAGTCTAAGGACTATCGCCACTGGCATCTCCCTGCAAGATGGCCAGCAGGCATGTAAGCTCAATTAGGTCTCAAGCACTTTCACGCTCGACGTAGGAGCCCAATCCAATTGCGAAAGGAACACCAGCTGCGGGGCTACACACAAAAAGTTGACTTTTAACTTGGTTTTAACAGTTTAAACCTTCTTAACTGATTGCTGGGTAATTCGTTTTTCTTGGTATATCAATTAGTTATATTAATTTCCTTCTTTATTATGCATTGTTTTTGATAAATTGAAACTTTTAGATCCCCCAGGCTGAGTCCGTTGATTTGAATATCAATTTTATTAAACTCAAATGAAAACACTTAGCAAATCATTTCTTTAATGAATAGCATTCCAAATATTCGTTATTACTTTACATACATAGAAAATTTAACATTATTAATGGCTTTTTAAATTTAAAGTCATATATTTAGACTTGTCTTCAATTTGTATTAATATTTTATTTTTTGTGTTGCTAAATACCAGTTTGAGCAAGCTTAAAATATTAAAATATATTAAAGTGTCAGCTTGCAAGAGAAAGTTCTACCCTGCATCTTTATAGACTTTTACAAACCAAGTTTTTTTTTTGCCGTGTTTGAAATGTTTAAATGGTATGCCGAGGGGTTCTAGTCGCCAGTTTGTCTGATGTAGACACTCCCATGGAGCCGCACAAAAGAATGTCGCCCTGGCTTCGTTTGTTACCAATTGTTTCAATGCTTACTGGCAATTTTTTGGCACTCAATCGAAGAGTGCTGCGTGCGCTTGGCAGTTGTGCTTAATGGAATTTTTATGCGCTGCTATTGAGTTGCTCAATTGCTCTTTGCTCGATATTTGTTCGCCGATTTTTTGAGGTCAAAGTGCACGCTCCGTGGCTTTTACTTTTCAATTGTGCCAAAAACAGCAGCCAAACAATGGGACAAATGGCATTAAAATTAATTAGTGCCGCGCATGTGTTGAAACGGCCGCTGTGACCATGTCCCTGAGCCCAATCTCTTCGTTCTTCGTTCTTCGTTCCCTGATCCGCATTCCCCGATCCCCTCAGCAGCATTTATCCAGGCACCCCGCATTTGGCCTTATCTGAAATATGCACACGAGGCCTTGGGCCGCCGACTTTTTCGTAATGCCATCCAAGGCAACGTCAACCAGCTGACGAACGACTGAGCGACTGAGCAACCGAACGACCCAGCCGTTTCATTTCGCAGTCGGACTCGCATCCGAAATGGCAACAAACTGTTGTAGGTGATTTCCAAAAATCCTTGGGCGAGTTGCTGGGAAATTGCATTTGTTGTGCAACTTCAGGGCCCACACACACACTCCCTCCCCCTGATAAACACACACAATGTCGCGCAACGGAAGCGCTAATTTAAACTATCGTCTAATCCCAAAGCCACGAAACTTCCTGCATATCCTACAACGCCCACGAAATGCCAAGTGACGATGCCAGTTTTATAGACCTTTTGTAAGCCAGCGAAGATACGAACAGCGATAGCGAAGGCGAGGCGCCAGTGAAAGTGCCAACCGCCCAATCAAGACGGCCACGGCCTGGTAATGGCAGCCAGCGGTCGGCTTCGCAAGCGAAAGCATAAAAGCCACACAAGTGGCGACGTTCCCAGTCCAACGGCCAGTCCTACGGCAGCAATGGCGCCGGCAAAGGGCGAGGAGACAGCGTTGGTGGAGGAGGCCACCCTCTCCGGGGACTATAATAATTTCACGCATAATTTCGTCGATTTGCAGAACCTCTTGAGTTTCAACGAATTGAACGGCAGCAGCCCCTCGAGCGCATCGAGTGCCATTACGTTGAGTAACGGCGCCATCAGAGACACACTGCTGGGCACGGTGTTGACCACGGCCACGGCCACGGTGGCACCGGCGGCCAGCTCCCTGATAGCCACCATGGTGGCCAGCACTACGGCCTCGGCACGGGTTGCGGTGCCGGGCAGGGGCCTGGCCATTGCCGACGCCACCTCATCCACCTATTACGCCAACTTGCTGAACCTGTCGCCGGCCACCACGAGCCTGATCTCGGCGGCGGCGGCGGCCACCAAGTCGTACAACGACAGTGCCCTGCGATGGGAGCAGCTGGACGGGAGCATGGACTTCGGGTTCGATCCGCTGTACCGCCACTCGCTGGCCATGTCCATGGTGTACTGTGTGGCCTACATTGTGGTCTTCCTGGTGGGACTCGTGGGGAACAGTTTCGTGATCGCTGTCGTCCTGCGGGCACCTCGCATGCGAACGGTGACGAACTACTTCATCGTCAATCTGGTGGGTGGACCGTAACTCTCTCGCCGGCGAAGCCATTAATTTGAAATTACATTTACATTCCCCAACCATGCCACCACTGCAGGCCATCGCGGATATCCTGGTCATTGTCTTCTGCCTGCCGGCCACACTGATTGGCAACATCTTCGTGCGTAAGTATCTCTTTAATTCCGTAGGACGCCGAGATTTATTATTTGCCACTGGGGGGGGGGGCACATTAGGGAGCTGCCGGAGCTGCCTTTCTGTCGGTTCTGCATATTAGCTGGATTTATGTGCTGCAATTAATCGCCGCTTAGAAAAAGTCCTGCCAAGCAGGGCATTGCCGAAAGTTGTTGCTTCTGCGTGCTTACGCTGCGTATGCGTAATGTTACTAATACGGACGAGTGCAAACGTAATGGAGCCCATTAGACATAATGTCGGCATAAATACCCGAGCAAAAGAACTCTACCCTAACCCACCGATAGAGTTACAAAAAATGCTGAAACGCTGAGACTGCTGTATTTTTTTTCGGTTATATTATATTAGTTAGAGCGTACTTATTTTTGACAGGCACTTTTGGTTTCCGTGTATCTGAACACTGCACTTTATATAGCAGACTCGGTGGCGACTTCCCATTTTATAGTACATGCATAAAAGAGCAGCGATGCAGCATATGATAAGACTTTGACGTGGTCTGGAAAATGTCAAGTTTGAGCATCGAATTTTTTAGAGCTTTCTGCGATGAACACCATAAATTCAAAAATAGACAGGCTAGCCAAGTACAAGTTCTTAATTAAATTAGGAGACTACAAATATGTATAAGTTCTTGTGGTTTGAAACGAAATCGTTACCACATATTAAGCAAAGCCAAAAACAGTTCAGATTTATTCAACAGGAACTCTAACAGAATACTTTGTAGACAAGATGCTCGCACTCAATTAAATTAATTTGTGAGCTTTCCCCAGGAGCCCTTACCTTCCAGTGCGCCAGTTCAAGTGTCTATTTAATTAAAGGCCAATTCCAAATCCCAGCGACGACCCACAAACGACCCGATAAACGAGGCTACGCATAATTGTATGCTTTAATTTAAATAAATTTGTCTGACATGCCTATCCAACCATCCATCTATCGCTCTGTCCCTGTCTGCCGTCGTACACCCCCAATTGATTTCGCTCCGCTCTCTCGTCTTTTCCCCGGACTTTGAGGGCTGTCATCCAAATTGATAGTCGTCGACCTGGCCGAGAAGGTGAGCAGCGTGGCAAATGTCTATGCAAATCGCCGTGGACATGGAAAAATGATCGAAATCCTTGGTAAATCAAATTCCGATTGCGGAGCACGCCATGTAGGTTCCATCCTCGACTGCAATTTGACTTCGATGGCTACCCCGAGCCCAAAACTCAATGCCAGCTCGTAGGCTGGCAGGTTGGGCCAAGTTTTGCCAATTAAGGACTATACTTGTTTATACACTGGCGATTACCCAGTGAAGTAAGAGAAAAGTCCTTTATCTAGAGACAGAAAAACTTTAAAAGCCTTTAAATCTTAATCGTTTATATTTGAAACCAGTACAATATAATATATAACAATATACCTACATAAGAATAATATGTTTGCTATATGATTTCATTATAAATGGTTTTATTTTTAAAGGCTAAAGGCGAAATCGATTGAGAAAAATATATCAAAAAATGTTGTAAATAACAGTAAAGTGAAGTAGAACACGGAATATAAATAATGTTAAAATTACCAGGGAAAACCATTTAATATCAAAACCAAATATACTTAGCTTGCATCAAGTATTTTTCCTGTGACAGACAAAAGACAAAAACACTTTAACAAGCTAAAAAACAATACAACAATATAAATAAGAATAATATGTTCGGTGTATGCTCTCATTTTAAATGGTTTTATTTCAAAAGGCTAAATGCTAAATACAAAATGTTTAATCTCGTTTAAATTTCCAAAGTTAACCATTTAATACAAAAATTAAATATACTTAACTTGCACTAAGTATTTTCCCTATGATTTACCTTCTGATATGTACATCTGGTCTGGAGAACTGGTGATACACTTTACAGATGTGTTTGCCTGTGTACCTCGACTTCAGGACTCGGCAATGCACTCGATGGGCCCCTCCCTTTCCACGCCCCCCCAGAAACACCCACACACCCACTTTGGGGGACGTAGTAGTAACCGAAGGCTGCCGAGGGGAAATCGCCAGGAACGAATGAAGCGAGTGGCGAAAAAGTGAATGAGTTCACCTCAGCCTGCATTGTGTGTCGTGAGTTGAAGTATAAGTGTGTGTGTGTCTGTGCCTGCATCGGTGTCACTGCGCACTCTCTTCGCTCTCTCTCTCGCCCGCTCTCACTCTCTGTGTGTGTGTGTACCCTCGTTGGTGGCTGTGTTGGTGCATTTGTTGCTGCTTTTCGGGGTGGCCAAAGGATCATCGACACAAAACTGACCTAATTTCACAAATTCAAGCTAGGCGCAGGGCCGACAGCTCTTAGTGGGTCACTGGGGGTGGTGGGTGGTCGGGTGGTCGGTTGGTCGGTTGGTCGGGGTGCCCTTTTAGCCCCCTACCAACTTTTTCACTCGCATGTCTTGAGTGGGGCTGAGCCGATGAGGCCTATGCACAAACGCCAGTCACAACAAATTGCAGCCCGCCCGCTGGCATTGGGGCCCACTTCACCCACTTCACCCCTTTTGCCCCTTAAACTCACAACCCTTCCACATTCCTGTTCACTTTCGACGAGCTGCTAAAGCGACATCGGATGGAATAACTATTCTAGCGCAGGTGAAAAAATCATATAGTTTAAGGAGATTTTTTTTTGGCAGGTGGTATGTTTTTATTAGCGTAAAACAACTATATTATCATTGTCATGCCAAACAATCATTTGTATTATTGTTTTTAAATTTAAGTAGGATTAGAAATAACCTTACACCTTTACAATACCTTGCAGGAATGATCTATAATTCTAGTCACCTAGTTTGCGAACATCTTAATATATATGGGACATTAAAATTTATCAGCACACATCGCTTAATAAAAAGCACTTTACAATTTATTTGGATGGGGTCGTTTTCACTAGATGAGTCTATGTAGTATATTCGATGTTACAGTTTGATCAAAGCAATTTTAAGGCTACAAAAGCGATTTTAGTTGGAAGTTTATAGTCTCCCAACAGACGTTCTCTGAAAGTTTGCAAAGATTCAGACTGGAAATTCATGTAAAATCTATTTATGAGACATGTGATGTTATTTATAAAATTACAGAAATTCAAATCAAGGCCTGGTCGGCTTAGTTGAATAATAATCAATAAGAGGTTGATGACAAAACAAACCCATATATAAAATGTCTTATCTTGATTACTAGTTTTTGCACTCCATTTACTTTTACTCCAACACACACCTTTCTCTCAGTGTAGAGCAGTGTGAGTGGGAGTTTGGAAGTTCTGCATATTTGCACATCGAACTTTGCTCGTAGATGTCTGATAGTTTTCCCGACTCACTCCGAACGAATGGCGAATGGCAGGGATGGTCGCCACATTTCGCCATCAAACTGAATTATATGAAATCAAATTCGAGCCGTCAAAGACGACGCCGCAGTTGCAGTCGCAGTCGCAGTGGGCAGCGACGCGCACGGTGGCCATCGCCGTTGGCAGCGCCATTATCTAAGCACACCTTCAGCCTCAGAATTGCAATGGAAGGTTGTTTGCATTCAAGGCTCTTTGCGGCTGGATGAATTGACCTAAATATTTCGCTTGGCAAACCTAATAGTCAGGGTTATACACACACGAGTGTGTATGTGTGTGTGTGTGTGTGTTGGTGTGGGGGCACCTGTTCTGGGTTGGGCCTCAACTGTTTGTGGGAGGGTTGCGGGTGCTTTTTGGTGGCGGCGGGCGTTGTTTGGTGGGTGGAATGTGGCGCTGGCCCTTATTTATGTGTGTGCTTCGAAATCCAATAAAATGCGAAATGAATTGATTTCCCAGCAACGATGCCGCCTTGAGACGAAGGATATCCTTGCAACAGCAACGGCAATTGTCCCAAATGACGCTTTATGGCCATTGTTGTCCCATTTTATCAATGGGGAATCGTTATCATTACGGCCCTTTAAGATCCGCATCACCCGATTGGCGAATCTGCAAGTCACGTTGCCAGTTTGTTCATTAAAGGGGCCACTTGATTTGTGCCGGGCGAACGCGGCGTATGCGTAACGCCGCTGCAACCTCCACTCCCTTGCCCCGATGAAGTCATTATTCAGCACTCTCTGTTCGCCGATTGTATTTTAATTTAGTCTCTACGTGCCGTCGGCAAATGGCATCCAACCTCTAACCTCGCCACCTACGATCTGGCTTCTCGCATCTCCCACAATCCCATATATCTCACCTAGAGGCTCCCCGATTCCGATTCCGATTCCAATTGCGACTCCGGGTCCCACTCACATTGCTGGGCGCACCGACTGCGACTGTGGTATTCAATTTGCGAAGAGCTGCCACAGAAGTCGCCGCAGGACGTGACGCCGCGGCGATAATCATAACAATAACGCATTTGCCAGAAGTGTTATGTTCTGCCTTTTCCACGGCCACTTGACGCCCATTCCACGCCCACTCCAATCGAACCTGCGGATTTGTCACGCCAGATTATTTCATTAACTTTACGACCCAACTCTGTGCATGACAATGCGGCAACCAAAACGAATCCACAATGCCCAGAATAATCCAATCCAATTTTTTTCTATGAGTGTACGCACGCAAAACAAAGGCATAAAAGCTGCGTGGAAAATAACATTTTCAAATATTAATAATTCACATTCATTTTTTTTTCAAATTGTAATTTTTTTTTTTAATTATTTGTTTAAGGTATATACAAAAATATCTAAAAATAAACTTTTTAGCCAACAAAATTAAATCGATATAATATATTCAATAAGAAAGGAAGCAATCTTCGGCAAGAAGAAGTTTATATACCCTTGCAACCATTGCAAAAATTAAACAGTCTTTAAAACATCTAATTTCGATTTATATGCCTATGTGTTTTAAAACATTGAAGCTATGATGATTTTCAGCTTAATTACTCGATCGTTCCTATGGCAGCTGTATGATATCGTTTTCCGATTTGGATAAAACTAAAAGCTTAGTTCTAAGCTATCAAATTATTACTTAGTCAAAAAAATTTTTTTTTAAATATTAAAATAATTATTTTTATATCTCGTTTGTTCCCATGGGAGCTATATGATATAGTCGTCCGATTTTGATGAAATTTAAACCGTAATTCCGGAATATTTATCATTTACTATATATCGAGAAATTAAAAAAAAATTTAAAACAGCTAAGTTATAAAAGACGCACGAACACGAACACGAACTGAAATGACTAGATCGACTTTTCTAGTAATGCTGATCAAGAATATATATACTTTGTAGGGTCGGTGATGTCTCCTTCACTGCGTTGCAAACTTCTGACAAAAATTATAATACCCTCAGCACGGTTATAAAAATAAATAAGGCTTTACAATAGAACATTCTAGAAGAGCTCAAACTAAATGTATAGAGATTAATGGCATGCTAAACGATTTTCATCGTAAAGCCATACACAACTCTCTTTATTATTCTTTATTATATGGCATACAATTTTTTCTGTGTCCCAAGCGAAAAACAAAAGTTCGCACAGAAAGGGAGGGGGTAAAAAGAATAAAGGCTTAGGGCTCACTTGACATTTTCTTGGGGGTTGGAGGGGCCAACCACACCACCCACAATCGAAGGCTGTCGATAAGCCCAAGTATCGATTGGAATTATCTCCTGCAGTTGATCAATATTGAGCACAAGCTCACGCTTATAAATGGAGGCGTCTGTTTGCCATATGTTGCCATGTCAAACACACTGCAAGTCGGATCAAATACCCATCCTTCTCACCTTGACGTGAGAAGCTGGATGTTTGCCCAGCAAACTGAGGTGTGTTTGGCTTCACTTGAGGCCACAAATTGGTAATGCCACAAGGAGTTTCAGGGCCGCACAGACACGCAAGTCAATTAAATTTATTTTGGTACCTCCAATTATGTTTTTAACACACAATAATTAGGCCTATAAGTTAAGGAAATATTTGGGGTTTAGTGGGTTTTTAATGATTGTGTATTCCGTAGACAAATACATTCGCAGTATATACATACAATACATCATTAACTACTTTAATGCAGAAGCTTTTACTAAAAAGTTTTATAAAGGTTTCTTAATATAGATAGTTTTACATATGCAAAACCGTGACACTTCTATTTTTAGGTTTGTAATCCGGTTATTTATCTATTCATTATTCTGTTGTGAAAAAATTATTTTTAAAAAAACCAAATATCAAATGTCAAATTTTGTATACTTAAAATCTTTGACCTAAGTAAATATTGGCTTAACAAACAGTGAGGAAGTCCAAAGATGAGTTTTTCTAACATTTAAAATAAAATAAACTTACTTCCCGATCCAGCATGTTTAATAACTTACTGGATGTAAAAAGTTTCAAGCTGTCTAAACTAATGCCCTTCTACTTGTTTGTGCGCGCTTATCGAAAAGTCACTTCGCTCCGATGGGCTTACCATAATTTAAACTGGGCTAAGACACTTGACTGCTCTGAGTGCACTGATGCAAACTTTAATCCCAGACAAACCGGGCGAGTCACGTTTGCTTGTCCAAATAGAATTGCATAGCCAATTAGATAGTTTACTCGCCGAAAGGGAGTTGGGTAAACATCTATTTTTGAAAAGTTCACTGTGTTCGAATGCTGATGGGGCATTTCGGAACCGAATTTGAATTTAAATTGTTTTTAACCAACTTGAAAGCATAAAGTTTGGCAGTCAAGAGCTTGCGCAGACAACCATATATCAAAGTTCACCCTTATCAGCATAATATCAAGTGAGTGGCCAAATACACTCGCGTTAATAGCTTCGGCTCCAGTCTGCTGCACTTGCAGCTCTGCCCGAAAGCCATTTTAAATCGAAGGAATAAAACCGAAAAACCCATTCGAGCTGCTGTCCTGTGTACACAGAGTTGATTGTTTGGCTGTCTCTCGGTCTGATGTCCTGCCCACACACATGATCCTTTCTTTGAGCCAGAACCTGTCCAAGCCGTCGAGTTCACTTGCACGAAGCACCAATAATATTTATATTTTTATGTGCCAAATCATATTAAAGTTAGCTTTTATTGGGCTGCCTCGGCGGCGTACGGTGCGTATGCATAATAAAAAGCGACAACGAATCGAGATAAGACAGGCGAACGAGACAGGAAATTAGGAGCGCCACGAACCAAAAGGCGTCTCCCCCGGCGACCGTTGACCCCATGAACTCCAGCCGCCACTGCCAACTGCTAATGATGTGTGGGCCGCACTTGCACTTGTTTAATTGCCATTCGATATGTCATGCCCCCGGCGTCGTTCTGTTCTGTTCTGTTCTGTTCGGTGCTGTTCTGTGGTGTTCTGTGGTGTTCTGTGGTGTTCGACTGTCATCAACCTTGGCGAAGTTCGCCCCGGCCATGCGAGCTTTATAACCTATTGTGTCTGAGTGAGTTATGCCTCTTAGCATAAAATTCATAACGCACAACTATGCGCAAGTACGGCCGTGTCTTCGCCTTCCATTTGCCATCTTCCATCAAATGGAATAAAAGGAATACAAATTAACTTAGGCAGTCCTGCGGTCTGCTATGGTCTGGGCAAACAATGCTCCCACTGGCTGGCTGGCTGGCTGGGAGCAATCTGAGACTTGTCACCAAATTATGAATGATATGCAGCACATAAATCTCAGTCAGCAAACAACGACGGCGACGTGGGCGGCGGCGATGACAAGAAGCATTGAACGTTAGCCCGCATCGAGCACAACTCGAACCCAACTGTCCGTGACTGCGACTGCCACTACACTGGGAGAAACTGAAGGTTGGAACAATGTTGAACAAGTTTGGTAGTTAGGGTGGCCCATATCTGCAAGCTGACCAGCAGTTCTACCTAAAAACCCAGTTCAGTTTAATAAATAAACCAGCAAACTGCTTAGAAATAAGTAACTCAAGAGCTAGTTTGACTTTCCTGACCACTTTTTTCTCAGTGTTTGACTAGGGCAACGAAGACGATGTGACCGAAAGTTACTCAGCATAATTTGTGCCATGTTTATGACCAATATTTACCCGTTTCTTCCTCTCGCTTTTTCATGTTGCGCCCAAACCCCCATCCGCATCGCATTTTGCAGCCTGGATGCTCGGATGGCTGATGTGCAAGTTTGTGCCCTACATACAGGGTGTCTCCGTGGCCGCCTCGGTTTACAGCCTAATTGCCGTTTCCCTGGACAGGTAAGTCGAAAACATTCGCTCCAATTACGTGGCTATGAACTTTTATTGTGGGATCGTTTGTGAGTCAGGGCGGGATAGGGAGCGGTAAAGGGGAAGGGGAAAAGGTATCGGGATCGGGATTGGGGCGCCGTATTCATCACTGCACTTAATGATGGACAACCAAAGCGGGGGCTGCGTGGTGCACGGGGACCAAGGGAACCACCGGCCTGACATGGTGCACCGCCACCACGGGCTTGTGGACAATGGGGGTGATGACCTTGACGGCTGCCGGGTGATGAACAACGTGGCTGCGGGTTGAGTAGAGTAAATGGTAAAGGGTAAAGGGTAAGTGGTAAGTAGTGCGATAAGCAGATTGCTAATGAATGGCCTTACGAGTGCACCGAGTGGGCGCCGTGATGGATGAGGGGCGTGTGCACCACCGCCGGGTGGGCCACCACGGGAGCCACGGCCACCACTCCGGGATGCGCGTTCGCCTGGGCGGCGGCGAAGGCGGCGAGTACGAACAGCTGCGGCGGATTAGAGTTCACGGATAAGTTTGGCTAGGAGCTTAGGCTGGAGCAGCAGGTGGCTGCCACTCCGAAAAGTATTTGAATATGGGTTGGTAATAGATGATGATGATGACTTTAGGGCACAGATAACATGTATCAAACGGCGGGTATTGGATTTTAATAAACAAGTTGATATCTACAAAATCGTTTAAGTAGTTTTAAGTAATAAATTTTATATAAAGTCCAAGCCTTTAAATTCAAGTTCAAAGTTGAATAAACAAAAATGATAAACAATTTTTGACAACTTAACACAAACCTATACTTGATTTTACAAAGCTGTTTTATTATCTTAATTAAAACGCCATACATTTTTAAAGTTAAAATGCCGGAGTACATTTAAATAAAGTAAATAAATATGGCAAAATATTTCTTTCATAATTTTTTAATATTTAAAATCCCGAAAGAATACAAATATGTTGTATTCATATGAAAACAATATGATGTTTGTTTTAAAATGGGGGTGGACTTTCCTTCACACTGAATACTCACAACTTTGAACATTTTGTTGGTGGTGATTTTTGGCGGGATAACTGGAGTTGGAGTTGGGCTAACGACTTGTAATTGTCAACTGGTGTCAAGTCGAGCTCTGAGATCAGCTTTTATAGGGGATTTGTCGCAGGGGACCGATCCGAAAGTGCGCGCCGCTCAATGCAATCAGCTGCGTGGAAAACTGGTCAGTTAGTCAGTTGTGCAGTTGTGCAGTTGTGCAGTAGGAGAGTCAGTGGAGCAGTCGTCTCAAGATCAAGTTCATCATATGCTCTATGGTTTACCTTGTCCGTATTAGGCGCTGTTTACAATCAATTTCATGTTTCTCGTTTTTTGTGCATTGTCAATTGCCTTAGAATGTTGTTCGCCGCGATTCCATTGACTCCATTGGCGGCCAGGAATCACAGTGCCCGCCCTGCGTTTCCTCGTTTCCTGGCACCCATAAGGAATAGAAAAGGAAAATCGATAACGATGTGACCATAAAGTTGGCAAAAGTCGCGGCCAACTGATTCATCAAGTGATGCTGAAGCGCTTTGACGTGTGGCAGTCATAACCCCAAGGACAATAAGAGTTGCCCGCCGCTTTATGTGCACTTCCATTTATATCAATTTCTGGCACTATCTGCGGGAGGAGTGGTGGCCGCAGGCACTGACTCTGCTTCTGTTTGTGCCACTGTCATTTTTCAGCCAGCGGGGACAAAGGCGGAGCCCATCACTTGATCGTTTGGTCACCCACAGACCCGCATGACAGCCATCGCCCACGCGTAATCCCAGCCCATCGAAGGCAAAGTCCGGCTCCATCGATGTCCGTTTATCCAGTTGTTTGGCCACATTTGCTGTTGCTTTGTGCTTTTACGAGCACTCGTAAACTGAATCGAAATTTAAGATTTATTATCTTTAACACGAAACTTAAATCTCTCCTCTGACTTAGGGGCTGATGGGTGGACTAGTGGACTAGTGGGCACTAATACCCCCTGGTTTAGCTTATCACTCGCTTATACTTATGCCATTTAATTGGGTTCGCTTGTGGCCCGCATACGTATATACGTAGGTTGTGTGTAATCATAAAGTCCATATAGGTATCAGCGCACTGGCATATAAACTTAGTTGTGACTTTATGGCGCTGGCAATGCGGCTTTTGTGTCTTCCTCGCAAATGTCAACAGTGCGTATGGGTAACCGCTTAGGGATCCGGAATGGGCGCCACAAAACCGCGTGGATTTGAACTAGCCAATTATAAAATTTGCCGCTTCCTAAATGCTTTAAATGCGCGAATATGAATGCTTTTATTATTAGACCCGCGGCAAAGTGCTTTTCAGTATTGAATTCATTGAGTATTTCGCACAGAAAGGATATACTATTCAGTTTGCTTAATAAATATGTCAACGTCACCGAACTGTCGTCGCATAGAGATTTATATATTTGGTACATTACCTTTATTAACCACTTTACTTGAATATCAAATAACATTTTCTTATTGTAATTGCTAAAAATGTTTAATGTTGTTTATTTTATAAAATAAGGCTTAAATATGAATGGAATTTTAATACAATTTCCATATTTTAAAACAAAAAAAAAAAAGTTTAAAAAACTACGTTAAAATGCACAAAAATATATATTTTTTTGAGTGCTTTGTTTATCCCAAAAGAACTCAATTAAGTTCTCGCCTGATTTGTGGCTATACAAAGCGCATGAACAAATTATGCTAATGCAATTGGTTTGCTCCTATAAATAAACGTTATGACAATTTGATTATTGGCTTTGCGGACAGCTTTGTTTGGTCCCACTCCGCAATTTCTGCTCCAAGATGAGGGTCTCGCCGCACATTGTTTAGCCGGCTATTTTTAGTCGAGCGTCAGAGAAATGGGATTCTGGGGTAGTGGCCGCCCTCTAATGGAATTACCGCTGTGTTATCTGCCCAATGTTTTGGCGGGCAGACACAGACAGGACGACCCAAGTCCAAAAAATACGAGCACAATGCACGTAATTACATGGTTTTTGGCCAGGAGCAGGCACCCCAGGCCACCGAAGCACCCAAGACACCCAGACTCCTATGCCAGGACAAGTCTTGTCTATGACCATTGAGCGGGCGCCACAATGTGCCGGCTGCACTAAGCTAAATGAAAAATGCTGAACTCGTTGTGGCCCCCATACCGACTCGTCTCGCTACCTCGCTGCCAGCTCTTATTCAAATTACAATTCATTATGGCAAGCAGAATAAAAAATGACACCCATGCTCCAATAGCGCATTCCCAACCCCAAACCCCTGCACCAAGCTACTGAGGCGGGGTCAATAGTCGAGATTGGAAAGCGAACACTCAGCAGAAAAAGGCTTAAGGATGGCTGCTGGCATCCTGCGTGTGCGAATTAATCAGCGGAGCTATTTGCATGCCGAGCTCCTAGCTGAGAAGCTGAAACGGTGTTGTCATCGTCATCGTCATCGTCGCCTCGACAGCTTGATGATTGCCATTATCCTCGACGGCTCAGCGCTGTCAGCGGCATCTGGAGCCGGTGCTCCTGCCGCTGCTCTTGCTCCTGCTCCTGCCCCTGCTCCTGTTCCGAATTCGATGGAGCCCATCTGGCAAGAAAACACCCTTTGACCCGATCTCCTCATCATTGCAGGTTCATTGCCATCTGGTGGCCCCTGAAGCAGATGACAAAGCGACGTGCCCGCATCATGATAATCGGCATATGGGTAATCGCGCTGGTGACCACCATCCCCTGGCTGCTCTTCTTTGACCTGGTGCCCGCCGAGGAGGTCTTTTCCGACGCCCTGGTCTCGGCCTACTCGCAGCCGCAGTTCCTCTGCCAGGAGGTGTGGCCACCGGGCACCGATGGCAACCTGTACTTCCTGCTGGCCAATTTGGTGGCCTGCTACCTGCTGCCCATGTCCCTGATCACGCTCTGCTACGTGCTCATCTGGATCAAGGTCTCTACGCGTTCGATTCCCGGCGAGTCGAAGGACGCCCAAATGGACCGCATGCAGCAGAAGAGCAAGGTGAAGGTCATCAAGATGCTGGTGGCCGTGGTCATCCTGTTCGTGCTCTCCTGGCTGCCGCTCTACGTCATCTTCGCGCGGATCAAGTTCGGTTCGGACATCTCGCAGGAGGAGTTCGAAATCCTCAAGAAAGTGATGCCGGTGGCGCAATGGCTGGGCTCCTCGAACAGCTGCATCAACCCCATCCTCTACTCGGTGAACAAGAAGTACCGACGCGGGTTCGCTGCCATCATCAAGTCGCGCAGCTGCTGCGGACGCCTCAGGTAATTAATTTATTTATAATTATTATAATATAGCAATAGCAATACACAAACAAAATGCCCAGCTTTAAATATATTTTTTGTACATTTATACATTAAACCAAAAACTTAATTGAGAAACCTGCCTGTATAAAACAGGAATTTAGTTGTTTTGAATAATTTAGTTTTAAAGAATATTTAGATTTGCATGCACACTCGAATTCTTTTTTATTTGCTTAACAGTATTAGTTGTGCGAAATAATAAAATGTTGAATTGATTTGTATACCTTTGCAGAGGGTATTATAAATATGTTGACTAATTAATACCGTTTGCGAGCTCAGATTAAAAGCTATTGTATTAAAACTTTTGCAATCGTAACCATGTCCACTTGTCTGTCCGCGCGTCCGTTCGTATGAAAGTCGAAGTCTAGAAAACTATAAAAGCTGTGGATTTGAGATTTGACATGCAGATTCTAGTTAAGCCTACGTATCGCAAGTTTATTTCAAGGGTTTATTTCAAGTCACTCTTAGACAGGGTTGAGTTGAGTTATTGGACTGTATATGTGTGTTTTGGTCATATCTATCTTTAGACTCAAACATTTTTTAATTTGAGATTTTATTTTAGAAGTTATTGAGTTATTAAGTCTGGTCCTATGCTCATTAGGTACACCCAGAGAAAAAATACTGGTAAATACAAATATTTTCACTTTGAAATAAATATTTTTGGTACTGATTGAACTCCAAGAGTTGTTCTGTTTAAATCATGGGGAGTTAACTTTCAATAAAAAAAAATTAAATCAAAAAATTTAGTTTTAAATTTAAAAAAATGAAATCTATGATACAATTTTTCTATTGGATAAACCAATTACATGTTAGTAATTAATTATCATTTTTTTTGTTTATTTGAAGTAAGTTTATCTGTTGAAATACAATGTATATTTTAATGTTTTATTTTACTACTGTTTTTTTTCTGTGAGTGTAGGGCCAGACAAAAGGAAAGAACTCTTGGCGGAGGTGGGGTGCTGTACGCTCTTGTCTTCTAAAGTAGGCAATGCACTTCAACGAATGGCACAATTAGTTAGCTTAATAACGGATATCAAATTGTCGGGCAACTCGACTTAAGACACTATTCCTATAACTGTCATATATATCTGTCACAGATATTCTCACATATATTCTAGGATTGGATTTATATCATATACTTTGATATCATTTCGCATACAATCCTTGACTACAAGTATAGGGTTTACCTTCAGCTTCCCAAAGTTAGCTTTCGCTTTTGTTTAATATAAATTGATTTAAATTACTTCAATGATAAATTCAACTGCAAATCGCTTTTTAACATTTCGTTCTTTAAAATTGTCAACAATTTTCAAAATTTGCAACAATTGAAGAACAATTTTCTTAAATAGTAGGGCAAGACTTTCTATCGACGTGGGTTTTAAAAAAGTTTATTAGTAGTTAAGTTTGGATGATTTTAATTAATTGATTATGTCATGTTTGACAAGCACGAAATTGAACTATTTATATTTTACATGGTGTTGTAAATATTGTATTGTATTATAACGATTGCATTGGAATCGGAAGATTATACAACACAAAATTTTTAAAATATCAGTTGATTAATAAAAGTCACCTACCTAACTTCAACAGCTGACTTAAGAGGTATACAATTACTAAGCTTCTCCTTAATCGAACACCTTGTTACCTTTGCCACCCAGGTACTATGACAACGTGGCCATCGCCTCGAGCACCACCAGCACCCGGAAGTCGTCGCACTACCACCAGAACAGCTCGCGGAAGAGCCCGAGCAGCAAGAACAACGCGGTGTCCTACATCTACGAGCACAACTCGCTGCGGCGCCACAACATGATGCTCAAGCAGGACAGCAACCTGTCGCAGCAGATGCTGCTCAAGCAGGACTCGCACGGCTCGCGCCAGTTCCTCATCAAGCAGGAGAGCTCCTGCAGCGACGCCTCCGGCATCCGGCGACCCCTGTGCCAGCAGGACAGCAACGGCTCCAAGGTGTCGCTGTCCAAGCAGGACTCGATTGTGTCCTACATGGAGGCGCGCCGGGCGGCCGGCCACGGCCTGAACGACGCCTTGGTGGACAGGGACAGCGTCGCCGTGGAGTCGCGTCGTCCGGTGGCGGCCACCCCGAGCTCCCTGCTGGACAAGCGGCAAAAGTTCGTGAAGCAGGACTCGGTGATCTCGTTCGTTGATCAGCGACCGGAACAGCGGCGCCACCAGCTGGTCAAGCAGGACTCGGTGATATCCTTTGCCGACCAGCGACGCGGACTGCTCCACAAGCAGGACTCGCTCATGGCCAACCGGGCGGGCGATGCACCCACCCACCACGTCTCCATTCTGAAGAAGACCGACTCGCAGCACAGCTACGGCAGCTCCACTTCTCCGCGCAGGAATGCGGATCTGTACGAGTAGGCAGCCATCGGTTGAACGAACTCCTAACGCCGGTGGGAAACTCCTGCCATTTGTGTGGGTCCTGGTTTGTGGGACAAAAAAGTGTTAAAACTCTTCGGGGTTCATGTGATCCATGCGCTTCGGAGCACAATTATGACATTATTTTACTCACATTTATTTGAAAACAACAAGAGCTGCCTAGTCAAGCGTATATGGATTACAGTGCCCCCAAGATGTTTTGCCCTGCAAATCGACCCACATTTAAACACAAAAACTAACGCAACGATACCAAAAACTTACCGAACCACTACAGAAATCCTTGTACATTTCTAGAGCAGCTAGACGGAAAGGGATCGAATGAAATTAGAGTGATAGGCCTACGACTGTGATACAAGTCGGCAGTGCTGGTGGGTTCAGAACTTGGGGGGCTAGTCAGTGCCGCACATATCCGTCATCGTCGTTGAGGTGGGATAGTGGGATGGAGTGCCATGGGATGGATGGGGACGGACATCGGGATGGACCAATCGGGTGGGTATATATCTAATCAGAGATCGCTTAGCTAGAAACAGAAACAGAAACAGAAACACGCCACACGGGGCACAGAAGAGGACTACACCACAGACACTCACCACAGACACTCCCCACAGACCTAATAGTTAATAGATGTTTTATACGTGTTTCAGCGGTACTACACAACATATGAACTACTCCTTGGCTATGGCTATATAATACCTATATGTACCGTTACGCAGTTTTAAGATTGTTTGTACTCGCAATTTGCTATACCGAAAAGTTTGGTTAAGAGTGGGTGGAAAAAATCGTGGGAATCGAATGGGGTTAAAATAGCTTTGCTAAACTTTTTGTACGACGGCGAACGTGAGTGAAACGGGCAAGTCCAGTATCATAGTTGAGAAACGAAACGAAACGTAACAAAACAAAATGAGATAACACCGAGGTCTAAAGTAACGTACCTACTAAATTTTTGTATGGAAATTCTTACAATTTATACATATATATTTATATTGATTTTGGAATAAGCAATATGCAATACAAGCGTATGTCTGCGCGTACGCCGTGTATCTATCAAACAACAATAATCAATTTTACTAGAATTTACACAACCGAGTCGCGACAGCGGAAATGGCACAGAAGCGGAAAAATGGTTAGTAAACGCAAGACAACAGAATTCGGATGGATGATTGGCACAACATCATAGCTTAGTTATTGGACACAAAGTCGGCCAATCGCCGATTAATTCGATAGCGATATCGATTGGCAGAGGAAGCGGAAGCGGTAGCAGTAGCGGTAGCGGAAGAGGAGGCATCGAACGCGCACAACCGAGCACTTGACCATGCTGGGACAGAGTCGACGGGATGGGGTAGATTAGGGATTAGGGCTAGATTAGGATTAGCAGGACGGACGAGATGGTTGTCCGCGAAGTGAGCACAAAGCAGTCAAAGATTTCGCACTAAACGTATCACTACAAACTAACAAAGAAGCAAACAATAATCGAACTCAAATTCGTTAAACACTAAACACCAAAGAACTTTAAACTATATGAAATAAAATTTTAACGGACGACCGAAAGAGGCGGAATCAATGGTAAAACTATGAAACTAAACGTAAAGATTAACTATGCAATTTTATTGTTAGCCAAAATTTTATAAATGTCAAGTAACGAACAAGTAAATATTTATATGTATACAGAATATATCAAGTATAAAGCATACGTTATATATCTTTATATACTTCGAAAGCATTAGGCGCTGATTTGAAGAGTTTTGGCTTGTTTCGATGTCGTCGAACCGAATCAAATCGATCAGAAGGTTGAGTTATTCCGTACTCTTCGGTCGCAATTCAGACTTTAGGAACAGCTTAAAACCTGATCCATTGAAAGAGTAAAATACTCGACGAAGTTACGCTCGGCCCGTTTAAAACTCCAGCGCTTAATGCAAGGCAAGAATCTACAATGAGGAATATCAATAATATATTTCAAATATACATACATATATTTATATAGGCTTATCGACTCATATGCCAGCAAAATTGGCAAACAACCACAGAGCAGAAGGACGACGTCTAGTAAACAAGATATTACATTTATACGAATACATATATGCTGCTAGTATGCAAAAGCGCGCAATAGAAATGTCCTCCCCGCTTTTGATTCCACTTAAACAAGAACTTGTAGGTAGCGAGCAGGAGCATTTAAACAAAAGTATATTTATCGAATAAACCAAATTGAACTTTTCGTTTAAAAGTTTTTAAAAGTAGAGCATACCCATACTCGTTATTCGTTATTTACCGATGCGGAAAATTAAATATTAAAGAAATGATCGCGCGTTAACCAGTTAAACAAAAAGCATGACATTAATGGCAACACAATATTATATATGTAAATATATGTGTTTATGCATACATATATATGTATATTTATCGCATAGAACTAACACCAAAGATACATGCATGTTAGCAGAAATAATAAATAAATATGAACTAAACTAAAGGTGTATGTTTTCTTAAGCCAAGGCCGATCGGTTGGAATATCGAAATAAAAAATCAAATTCTAAATCGATTTAAACTGTTCTCTAGCTTGTTACTAAATTTATAATTATAAATACATAGCATACTTTCGGGCAAACTGTTAATTGAAACTAAAGATTAAAAATAGTTGTTACAAATTAATATCACTAAAACATAGAATCATTCAAGTCCCTCACAAATAGGTTTCAAAATAGGTCGAATTTCTTGGCCAGATTCGATTAAAGCTCTTTAAAATCCCACCCCGAATGTTATCTGTCTTACAACTTTTCACCAAAAAGCTCGTCTCAACGGTACCCAATGATTTGAAACGCTATAGGGCAGAATCTTTTTGTTCAGATCTGGTCAGTGTCCAATCGGAGAGCTATTATCACGGACTTGTAATGAATCGTTGGTTGAATCGCGTCGCCGTCGTCACTGGGGCCAGTGCTGGAATCGGAGCAGCCTGCTGCCGGGACCTGGTGGCCAAGGGGATGGTAGTCGTGGGCCTGGCCAGGCGAGAAAAGGTTCTCCAGGAGATTAAGGCCTCACTGCCCGCAGACCAGGCTGCTCGCTTCCACGGCCGTGCTTGCGATGTCAGCGACGAGCAGCAGGTCAAAGATGCCTTCGCCTGGATAGACCGAACCCTGGGTGGAGCCGATGTGCTAATCAATAATGCCGGAATAGTGCGCAAAATCAACATCACGGATGAGGGGAACTCGGACGATGTGCGGGCCATTCTGGATGTCAATGTGCTGGGGGTGACCTGGTGCACCCGGCAGATGTTCATATCGTTGCAGCGCCGCAAGGTGAACGACGGCCATGTGGTGATCATCAACAGTGTGGTGGGTCACAAAGTGCCCGCCGTGAAGGATTTCAGCCTGAACATGTATGCGCCGTCCAAGCACGCGATCACAGCTTTGACCGAGATCCTGCGCCAGGAGTTCAACCAAAAAGGGACCAAGACAAAGATTACGGTGAGTAAGGCTGACGGTAGGAGCATATGTACATATGTACTGATGCCCCGCTTCTTCCCGTTGCAGAGCATCAGTCCCGGCGTGGTGGACACGGAAATCTTCGAAAGCGGATCATGGGAGTACCCCAGTGGCATGCCCATGCTGCAATCGGCCGATGTGGCCGACGCAGTGTCTTATTGCATCCAAACGCCGCCAAATGTTCAGATACACGAGCTCATTATCAAGCCTGTGGGCGAAGTCTTCTGATGTGTCAATTTCGATAAGGAAGTCTAGTATTCACTCGTCATAAAGCAAATAAACAATGTCATTGAACCGGAGGAGGGAAACTTTTTTATTAGTGATCAACTTAAAACGGCTACATTTTAATCAATGTCATCTTGTGCTAGTAATCTTATCAAAACAATAAACAACTTTGTTTCATCTTTATTTATTGATCTATGACATTTAAGCGGTGATAATTTGTCTAAAACAGATTCTCTTTCTATCTTGACGTATAATTTCAAATACACTTTTAAAATATTAAACAATAAATTTAAATGTGATAACTTACTTTATTTTTAAAAACAACTTTGGGCAAATAGGCAGAGACATATCCAAAAAAATTGTTTTTCATGTTTGTTTGACCATAGTTTTTACCGTCTATTCTGGTAACAGATCCAGAATAACTTTATGGTTCCAAAGTGTAACATTGGAAAAACGAAACTGTGTTGTCGAACAAGTTGACTTTATGATGACTTTCTCTGTCAAACACAAACAGAACCTTAACTTGACCTTAAAAAATAATCCCTAAGCAAGTTACACATTTGGTTGAATAACACAGGGCAACAGAAGTGTTGTCCAGGCCAAACCGCATTTGATAGTGATAAACTAGGATTTTTCAAGCATAGTTTCCCACTGAACTAAAAGAAAAAAAAATGGGCCAATTTAATTTTAAGATTTTGTAGTCGTTTGTTTGATAATACCATAAGGAATGGCCTACCAATTTTAGTATGCTTTGTGCATATAAAAAGCCTTATTGGTCTTCAAAAAATTAGGTTCTTCGTTTTTAATCAAGTGCCATTCTTAATCAAGTGCCATTAAGTCTGCACAACAAAAATCAATATAACTGCTCCAGTTTTAGATGTGGCTTTTCAATAATAATCTTTCTTTAATATTTTAAATCATAATCGTTCTGCTTTTGAAAGCTGGGACAGCTGATTTTTAACGATTTGTTAGAATTGTCTCACATTTTTAATGTATGGTACAATTAGACTGTAGACAATTTTAAAAGAATTAACAATTAACAATTAACTTATAATTATACACGCATTTGAACACATAAGTTTGAAAACGATATCAGTTTGAAATATCGATTAGGCACTATCAAATATCGATGACATTCAGAAACGATTATATCTATCGAAACCGCGTAAAACACGTTGTTCAACACTAGCCAGCAGTCGTAGTTCGTGTCGGGATTGTTTTTAGTTTAATATTTCTCTAATTTAGGCCGTTATTTGCCTAATTGGTCGACTCTTCCAAATTGCAATAAATTCAGTAGAGCCATACTTCACGGTTTTCAACGCCGTCGCGTTTCCTTGTGCCCACGAAAGCTAATTGAATTACCCACGCACACAGACGCAACCAGCCATCGCCTGCGTCATAAGCTATTTTCGTCGATAGATCCAAAATACAGAACATGGACCCCAAACAACAGAAGTCCGAGGAGGAGGTGGCCACCGCATCCACGCTGCTGGAGGATCAGCTGGACCTGGACATGAAACACTGCTTTGAGAACCTGATTGTGATCGACGTGGGTGCAAATTTGACCAACAAAAAGTATAGCCGTGATCTGGATTCCGTGGTTCAAAGAGCCAGAGACGCAGGTTTGTTATGACAGATAGTAGTAGCAGCAATACAATATTTATTAATAAGACCCGGGCCGTGTCTTCGTTTTGGGGCGAGGCTACGAGAACACACAGACAGCCAGAAGGTCAGGCGATAAGTGAGCAACAAGTGTGCGACCTAGGCATGTTTTTGTTATGATTTTTTGGGGAGTTTGTAAACTATTAGCCTGTCTGTCCGTTTCAAAGCTGCACTATTCATTGAGATGTACATCTATCTGATATATACATAAATCCGAAATGGATTGGATGACAAACAAATGCTTATAATTAATAATTTATGCATTTTATAAAATTTAAAAATAGTCAATTTACTCAAATAATAATAATAGACCATGACTTATAGCTGAAAAAGGCCATTTAAGCTTCGGATTGCTGTAGCCGACCCTCTTTGTATGTGGCACAATGCAAGGTGCACTAACTTTCTCCCGCTGCATTTTTTCAGGTGTTCAGAAACTCATGGTTCATGGCACTTCGGTCAAATCTAGCAAGGAAGCGCTGCGCCTCTCGCGCATCTATCCCGACATCATCTACTCGACTGCTGGCATTCATCCGCATGACTCCAAGTCCATCGTGGAGGAGCCGGCCACGTGGTATGACCTGGAGCACATTGCCCAGGCGCAGGAGTGCGTCGCGGTTGGGCCCTGCGGCCTGGACTACCAGAGGGACTTCTCCGAACCGGACGCCCAGAAGCAGATCTTCGCCAAGCAGCTGCATCTGGCCATCCGGCTGAACAAACCTCTGCTGATTCACGAGCGGTCGGCTCAGCACGATCTACTCGAAATACTCGACAAGTACGCGCGAAGTAACTCTGGTTTACAATACTCCTAACCTGTTCCTCTTGCAGATTCGAGAATCTGCCGCCTGTGATCATCAGAGGTTTCATGGGCACCGCCGAAGAGGCTCTCAAGTACCTAGAGCGCAGGTTCTACATTAGCCTAACGGGCTACCTGTGCAAGGACAAATCGGATTCAGGCGTGCGCCGACTCTTGGAGGATGGCACTTTGCCGCTGGACAGACTGCTGGTGGAAACGGATGCTCCGTTCATGTATCCGAATACAAGGGCTTCCAAGCTGCCGCAACACGTGAAGACTGGCATCACCGAACGCTCTTTGTTGTACTTACACAGGTGAGAGGGATACCATAGCCATAATCCAGATTATCTTTTAACGATTTTAAGTGTCCCCCAGATATTGTACCTTCCAACGCAACGAGCCCTGCAGTCTGCCTGCCATCGTTGAGATGATAGCCGCTTTCATGAAGAAAACTCCCGATGAGGTGGCTCTGGCCACCGCCTTTAATGCTCTTAAACTATTCGGTTTGTCCTAGAAAACGGAAACGGAGTCCCATGGAACTGAACGACAAAGTGTGCCAACCAGCAGCTTTAAAAACCGTAACACTATAGATTGAACGAGCCTGAGATTTACGATAGACTCATACCTATGTGCCTTAACCACTAATCGAATTCAGGATGAAGCGCTCATCCTGGTCCCACATACATATACACGCCCACAAATACGACCCCCCATTGCATGCGAAAAGTACGTATACCTTATACCTATATATTCAACGCCCTGCCGTAAAGGTGCAAATTATCGAACGAAGTTTGCAGGGTCTAGCTTTAAGTTGCGGCAATTTCCCGAGCAATTGCTTTGAGAAACGGTGCCAAGGTGGTGCCAAGTGGACGCCGTCTCCGGATTTGCACTAGGCTGGCGCTTCACGCCTCAAAGCGCGCGCTTCGAACTCGCTTCCGAAGCGAACGATTAAGATGTTAAGTGGTGCAGCTTGTCTTCTGTTTGTTTTTTCTGTATTTAGGCTAGATTCATTATTTTTAGTTCGTGTCCCTTGTTAGCTTGTAATCTTATTTTTTGTACATACATATTTATTCTTGTTGCGACGATGACGATGATGATGATGATGATTATGGGAAACGTAATGTGATCATTTTAAGAGCTAAATATTTATATGATATTTAACATACAAACGCGTTAGTTAGGCTATGAAACATATTGATTATCGTGCGCCTATACATATTATATTTTGTTATATTTACATATACAAAACCGTTGTACTGAACTGATCGACCCGCGGAGGTTGCATAAAATCCGCTTTGTGCCCATTGTTCGCACACAGACACACTATTTTCCATTTGAATAAAGCGAATTTGAAACCCAGCAAACAAAGGCCCGCTTTGAGGCGTCATAACTTGTATTTTTGGTTCGTTAGCACATTTAAAAGCGCTGAATGTTACTCAAGTCCTCGAACTGCTCCAGCTGATGCAAATTGTCCCACCACAGCTTCAGGCGGTGCTGCAGAATCAGGGAGAACCAGGGTGTCAACGGGGCACTGAACTTGGCCACCGCCTCGTCGATCTTGTCGCGTCGCAGGAAGCGCACCTCGCTGACCTCGTTGCTGTTTGGCCGCAGGGTAACGTCCTTCTGCAGGAACAGGATGTAGTCGATCTCGTGCTCGCCCCAAACGCCATCGCCTGTGTCCGCATAGTGAATGCGGGTCAGGTAGCGAAAGTCCTGCGGCTGCAGCTCCTCCATGGGAATGCCCAGTTCGTAGTTAAGGCGTCGCTGGGCGGCCAGTCGGATGCCCAGGGCGTTGCTCTCCTGGCGCTCTTGCTCGATCTCGTGGAGCGGATGGCTGCAGCAGGCGTTTGTGTAGGTGTTTGGGAAGGTAATCTGCGAATAAACATTTAATCATTGTAAAACAAGTAACGAGTTGATTTCCCCTGATATTTGACCTTGTGGGACGAACGCTTTTGCACCAGCATCTCGCCTTTTGCGTTGAAGAGGAAAACACTGAAGGCGCGATGTAGCCTCACATCTCCAGACTTTGGGTGCACTCGGTGGCAGTCGGCCTTGGAGGCTGCTCCAATGGCCTGGTCGTTGGCGTCCACAAGGATGCACTGCTCCTTGAGGGCGAGCGCCTGCAGCGGATCGTGCACGGATTCCGAGGGCACTTGGCGCTGCTGCTGCTGGCCGACCACCGTCGTGGACGAGCCGCGCAGCCAGGACATGCGGGGCAGCAAGAGATTCAAGCGAGAGGGCAACATTTTTGGTAAATGACTAGTTTCGAATGCCAAAACAAATACGAAAGTGAAACTTGGTAATACAGGCGGCAGTGCTGCCAACTCGCTTGCACTGGCCTCGGCCACTTTGCAGCACTGCGCCGCAAACAGCTGTTTTGCAGAAGCGGTAGCCCTGGCCCTAGTGATACACAATTTGCTCATAATCAGTTTTTCGCTTCCGTCGCCGAACGATAAAATTGTAAATAGCCAAGCAGCTGCCTGAGCAAAGCCACGGAAAATGGTGAGTATATGGTCGGCTCACTACTGAGATCCCTTTATGACCCCCTATTCGCCCAGATACGCTTCATACTCATACAAAATCGAGCTGGAAAAACTCGCCTGGCCAAGTGGTACATGAACTTCGACGATGACGAGAAACAGAAACTGATTGAGGAGGTGCATGCCGTGGTCACAGTGCGCGATGCCAAGCACACCAACTTCGTGGAGGTGGGATCGAGTCTGTTTGT